ACTATGGCTGTTAAGGAAGGAAATTGAGTAGATGGCCTAAGTGACATTTTAAAGTTAATAACAAGAAAATATACAAATAAAGAGACGTTATAAACGGATTTAAGTCAGACATGTAAACCTTTCGATGCTTAAACATACATTAGAGCTAACATCTCCCCAAGAAATTTGAAAGTCCCAGGCTAATGGTAACGGCATGGAAATGTGTTGCTGAGGTGTTATATACTACGACACAATCAATACCCAGTGATTTCAGGATAGTGGTGGTAATATAATTCATTTAGGTTACCAATCTCAATAACTCCAAATTGCCACTTCTATACCCAACTCATGTCTTTCTAGAAAGCATTGAAAATTAAGACTGCGATACAAGGGGAAGGACGTTATAATGATGTATGGTTTCGCCCGGAATACTTTCTATTAAAAAGAATCATCAATGAGTTTCAGTGCTATGCTGCACCCCTGAGGCCACTACTTCTGGTTTGAAAGAAAAATGGGTAGACACCAAAATACGTGTTAAAATAACAGGCTGAGATATAAAACTGACTAAAGTGAGAGACAATAATGGTAATTCCTACCGATTACTCTGAATAAAACCTATGCAGTTGCAAAGTTTCTCAGGATTGCTATTGTGGAAGTTATAGCACGATCACTCCCAATGTGAGTGACTTGTGATCTGTTGTATTAAGTTCATGAGTGGTTTGAACAGATACTACCATTTGTAACCAATACCTCGTAGACTGGTTCTAAGGAACCAATAATTGGCTAATTCTGATGAGAATGTTTAATGCGGGGAAATTATGACGGATATCTGTATAAGCAGCTCATGTACACATGTCTGAGGCATTATGGTGTTGAGAAAATGACAAACAACTACAGGAAACCGGTTTAAGCCTTTATATAACGTCCAGATTGTTTTAAGTTTGTGTCTAAACTGAAGATATCTTGTATATTAAGGGAGCTTGTGGAGCAGTATTTGTGTAGATCGTCAACGTAAGTGGTTGTTCGACGATCTGGGTCTACTCGAGTTGAATGGGGATGTTAAGACCCTGTGATTTACGTCGAAGTCGATGCTCGCGGTCACTGCTGAACCTGGATTATGCGATCATGATAACCAGGCGAAAGGATTTCCTAAGTAACTGGCTTGAAGAAATAATTTTAATAGGCAACAAAAATATTGTCGTTAACATATTACAGAAGTATAAGTGGGAATCTTTACCTGATCCCCTACCCATATCAACCAGTTGATCGATCCTAAGGATGCCATAAGTATTCGGAGTTTGACAGCACTTTAAGCAGCAACACTTTTCACAATCGAAATATGCCAACCCAATCAAATCAGAAGTCAAAAGAGAAGGGGTTCGAAGATATATTTGATAGAATATCAATATATCGGGAAGTGATCAATCTAAGCTGACTAGCGGTTGTAGGAGATGTAAAGCATAGCGTACCTACTCGTGATCTGGTTCAGACGCATGAACGAGCGCCTTCGGCAAGGTGAGTCCTCTAAGACTGATGTGGTTAGCACCAAGTGTGGAAGACTTACAGAGCTAATGATTTCGGGGACTCATTTACCACTACAACCTCACTGGTCATCCTAGATCTCGACCAACAGTGAAATATCGTCTAACGTGGAAGCGCCTCAGCCTTATAGGTGATTTTTCCAGGTCTCACACACTTCTTTCTGACCCTACATGTGATAGAGAATTTAGAAGAGGAAAGAAAAAAGGAAAAGTGGACTGACAACTCAGTAAACGCATAGAGCGCATAGACATTTAACAGTGGAGGAAATAGCCAGCAGTCAGCAATAAGATAAGCGTAAAATTAGAACAATCTGATAATCGGAAGAGGAGTTGGCAGATAAAGGTTCCTAATACGTAACATACAAAGGAGCTGAAAATAGACAAATCTAAATCCACCAATAGGGAAGAAGGTAGTTGTGTGCACACGTGGGCGCTATTTTTAAAGATTCGAAGTCAGAATGTCGGGTCGGGAAGGTGGTAAGAAAAAGCCCTTAAAACAGGCAAAGAAGGAATCAAAGGAGTTGGATGAAAGTGATATAGCATTTAAACAGAAAGAAAAAGAAGAGGCAAAGAAATTGAAAGACGCTAAAATATTAGCCGCAAAACCTGGTCCAATCGGTCAAGGGAACAAGAAAGTTACGAAAAAGTGAAAATTTGAGAGAAAATCCTTTGTATTCCTGTATATCGTGTGCATCTACAGTCAGAACTTAAACACTATTTTCTACTGACAAAATAATGTATAAACCGTATTGGCTTTGTGTATTTCGTCCATAATTCATAATTTACCATACGGTTGTATTTTGTCACAGTATGTCATTAACTAGTATTGATCTGATTTATTTATTCAAACACATAAACGTTGGTACAAGGAGACGCCAAATATACATGCAACACAATTCATTCTATTTGTGTGAGGGCTGGAATACTACCCAGGTGCCCAAACCGACGTAGGTGGTTTTCTTGGGGGGACATTCCCCGAGCCTTTGATCTAGGGGTCTAATCCACAAGGCAGTGGAGCTGCGTCAAGAGATGCAGTCTCATGGTAGTCGGTAACCAACAGTAGGTCCGTACTTTATTTGTTCGCCCAGGAGCCTATGTGCACCATTATCTTGGAATCAGGGTTTTCCAACTTCCTTACGTGGATCCTCGACATCTACCAACTCCGTTACGGCTACAGGTATTCACTTTCCGTCCTTTCAACTTCGCAAAATCACCCCCGTCACGAGAAGGTAGTGAGTAAGACTTTCCTAACAGTGTCTGTGTACGTGTGACCATGTGAGCGCATAACGAGAGGGCGAGCTGACTCCACCGACCCCTGTCGTACCAGGGTACTTGGAGGAAGTGGCAAGTATTCATATTGCTATTTTTTCATCGTATTTATGTGTAGGAGTTATTACTTGTCTCAATACAAAATGTCTCGTTTTTATTTTTTGCCTTCCGGTATTTGTGGCTTTGCTCTTTCTAATGTGCCTTAACGACCCCTGGCAACGTATATCTTACGAAATACTTCTTTCTGATGATGTGAGGCTATCGGGAACGTTTTGTAGCTGGAAGATGTGTTAATACTTCGTGATCTGATTTGTTTTGGAGGTCAGGAAATGGATTAACTTTAAACTTCGTAGAGTAGTTTGTCTGTGGGATGTTGTGAACCACACATCATCCAGATGTTTCAGTAGGGCTGTCGTTGGTTACCCTGCTTCCTTACTATCTAGAACCGTACTCCGGCGAAAATAGCTGTAGAGCCTATATTTCACTAGTAACCTTGAAGAACATACTAACCGGTTTAACAGTGTGAGTGCATGTCTGATTTTTAATTCACCTCTGAGTTCGGAAAAGTATTTCTCATCCACTTTGCGAGGATAATACTACTTCAGAGCGTATCACTAGGTCAAATTGAGTTTCGAACCTCGCATTGTACCAAGAATCTCCAAAAACATCCCATTTAATGTAAGATGGTAAGTAGTGATCCCATGATAACCTATAGTATCGTTAATGTCCTTGGACATCGCATGAAGCACAAGTTCGCTCTGTACATGGACTTGAGAGGGGCTACTGGGAATGTATGAGAGATACATATCAGTTAGGATTGTAGTCAGTAACTGCTATTTAAGAATAGTCAGCGGTTAGGATTCTTTATCCTTCGAACTGGTACAAGGGACTTATTTAAGAGATGTTCTCTCCACTTAGCATTTTCATCTCATTTTGATTTACCAGGTATTCCACTGACATGAAAATGTAGGATGTTCTTAGGTTGTCGTCAATCCATTCTCAAATAGTTCACATTTTTTAACCGATGACTAGTTACCAGCATCCAGTACTACAAATTTGGACTGGCGAGTAAGTTGCCATAAACCTTCTTGGTCTCTACAATTGAATGCCATATGTGTTGTCCAAATTCGTTTAGTTTAGGTAGTGATCCAGTGTGTCGACGGCACTACTGGAACCAATTAAGGCCACCTTCATGGTTAACTCGTCTTACAACCACTGCTGTTTCCAAAAATAAATTTCTTCAAAACCTAATTGAGTACTTCTTGACCACGTGCGAATAAACTGAAACTTCATAGAAGTTAGTGCAGTCGTTTTCAGAGACTGTTCCTCATAGGTTCTGTCCAACTATACGACAGCCATAGTAGCCTTCAACAATCTTGAGCTCATAAAATAGCCGCGAATATGTTCCTTACAGTCGATACAAATCTTCGGTCAATTTCGCTGTAGTAGCTTATACTAGCAGCGAAACATTGCTTGGTGTCACTGGAAGGTTATTTTCCCTACAGTACAATGACATGACAGTCCATGTAAATTGTGTTCCCTCTCCCCCCAAACACTGGCTACTATTCGAAGAGATATACCCCGCATGTGATTGCAAGAATACTCACTTTTCAAACTTTTCGTTACAAAGCAGATGTGCTGCCAAAAGACCTCTATTTACTTATATGAAAGTGGGAACGCTGGTTCCAGACTTGAGCCTCATGTACAGAGCTAAGATCCCGTCGCCGACCTGTCTCAGGATGGCAAAATAGTATAACACAGTCAACAATGGTAAGAGGATAGATAGTTTGGTCTTTTCCTTTCCAGTTTAGCCCTAGAGCATCACTTGGCATCCCATGATATGTACGGGCGTGATACATACCTCAGAGTAAGTGAACATACTACGCTACTAATTACTCCAAATAAACTTATCCTGCTAAGTGGACTTGGCACGCATCCACAGTCAACACGCGGTGAAGCACGTTCGTAACATATAGTGGCACATAATCCTACGGTTAGGTATGAAAAAAGGTGTAGCAAACAATATTATTCAATACTGACTTGACAAAAATTGTTTGAGGACAATGATGAAGTTTCTACCCGCAATTATACAGCTAACTCTTGGTTATTAGACTTATTGATAATAAGGTGACTAATGTCTCAGACAACTTGGCGTCGTTTTTGGTTACAAGAAGGAAAATTGCAGTCAGTTAGTGTCAAGAAGACCTTTATCCATGTGTAAAATGTATTGGTACAAAATAACATTATATACATAGTCGACCCTTATCCAATCTTAATATTTGTTTCATTAGCGCCTTTTATTAACCTTGGATCGGCAATTTAGTTTCCTTATATCTTGGCTATTACCTCCAGGACTTCTACCAGGTCGCTGATCACGGATTTCTTTGTAAAATTGACGGCCTGCACGATTTTTCTGACGTCGTATAGCTCTGTCCATACTTCTTTTTTGTTTTGATGTCAAGATCTGGACTGATTCCTTTGAAGTTGTTATGGCTTTAACACTACCATCATCATTAGTGTTCAGATCGTAGTTGAGTACGTTACTTGATTCCAACTCTCCATCACTCTAAAATAATACAGAAAACAAAGTGCTGATCAAGATAAAAATATAGGTGATGGGTAAGGACGAACTTCTTGATGTAAACACGGCAGCTGAACGACGTGGAAATTGACACGATCCGTACGACAAGTACATATAAAGCTACTACATTAGTTTAACAGTAGCAAAACTCCAGGATGTTCTCCGCACATTGTACTAATAAAAATATTTATGATAAGTATTTCCCAAAAGCCGATAGCGGGGAACGAATAAGATTCAGTAACAGCAACCATGAGTAGTCATTGGAGTTAATTGTTTTAGAAGTAAATTCTAATGTGAATGTATTAAGACATGTGATTCCTAAAGTGACATTGTTTTGAGCCAAAGGATTCGTCGAAATAATTAAGTTCAATAAAAACACAATACAGGTGAATGTAGGTAGTGGTTCCTTTACAAACATTAAATCTTACGGAGCTATTTCATACAATTTATAGTTTTTTTTCACTGTGATTTACATTACACGAGTCATTAAACTACCTGGTGAAAGCTGATAATAGGGAAGTTGGACTTACACAGTCTGTCTCGGATAAATCTTCTGCAAAACCGGTATCAGTAGAAGAAATCACATCAGTAATGGATTGGTCCTTATCTGGTACATCCATTGATAAGTCCTATTAATCAGAACAAAATAATTTGAACAAGGCAAATATATTACAGAATGACACCTAATGTTAACAGTATGAGGTTACTTCATTAACTAAGTCACAAATACCGTCTCTACTATAGCATAACTGTTATAACTTACAAACCTACATTAGGTTTTACGATTATTTCATCTTATCAACAGTAACTGACAAAAGCCCATTTATCTTTATAGGTATTTGGAATTATACTCAGGCTTGGTATTCCCCATTGTACCCGTTACCAACTAGTTCTTTCTTTCAACTGATTTTTATAACAGGGAGCGGAATAGTTAGTAGATTGTTATTTGATTATTTCATTGAGATTCATAGTACGACGTTCTTATTAGTTTTTTGACATATACTTGGTTTTTGTACTTCAGGCATGAAAAACTCTATTTAAGTTTGAAAGCTCCTTAGCATCACTTCGTTTAAATAAGAAAATACCGGATGTAATTGACAACTAGCAGCCTGCTTTTCTTTCGTTCTCTCTCTGGGTTAATAACATTTTATCAGTTTTAATAAAACACAGACTTGCCTTTGTTTTATTCTGGCCATAATGTCAAGAGTCAAACTACTTATTCAAAACGATAAATTATGTTTAGAAACTTGAAAAAAATTGCGTTCGACGGTACTATGTATTAAAAGAAGCGAAGGCATGTAGAATAATTTTACTGCGAGTAATACACGTATCAAGTCAGAAAATAGGGTTGATTTACAACAATACATTTTATGCTTTACTCTCATTGTAATCCCAATGCGTTTACGTTTAGTACTACCATTACCCACTTGTTAAATCCATCATAAAACAGGTTTATTAGTTTATAAAACATAAGATATTCCTATTTTCCATTACGTACAATCCTCTTGTTTATAACTTCCCAGTTTTATGTAGAAATGTGGGAATTCGGACACAAACAGCGGTCCTACATTCTGTCTTTACTAAACTGTGAGAAATCATCTATATCAATGTAAATGTAAAATGTATTAATAACAAGATATTATTGGGGAAAATTTTTTATAATACCTTGATGATTTCTTCCGGATATTCATCGACAAAATCATTCTGTTTAAGTTCTTCCGCCTCCATAGGTGGTTTGACAAAGTAGGGTAGTCGACCACGTTGAAAGTCATTCAGTACACGCTTAGCAGTGGTGTTTAAATCCGGCTCACCAGCCTAGTTAGTCCGTAAAAAATATATAACAACAATGTAGGTGGAAAACGAAGTTAATTTCAACATCGAGTAGATTTTGCATAGTCACAGTCTATATGTGTGGAATATTCTGCGTAGGTGTAGAGCAATTTCAGAGGGATTTGTGAGAAGTTCCGGCACTACTTTAGGGCCTTCACAAGTTTTGATGGTCACTGTTCTAAAGGTTATTAGAATTATTTACAATTTTTGAATATTGATGTATATATGTGAAATTGCTTCAGTATATAACTCCGTGCAATTCGCGTATTGATAGAATTATTACTTGACCGAAATTTTTATCGTCTTATCATTTTTATTATTATGGGAAAGTAGTGCTCTAAAAATGACGGGAAGCAGAAACTAACCAACTGGGTTAGTCAAGTATAATGTAAGTGTAACTTTCCTCTATGTTTCATGTGCATGAAAACCAAAGTAGATATCAGACAGACACAACAGACTATAATAATCTAAAGCTTAGTGTTATAACAGGAGTATACAACGTATTCGGAAAGAAACATAAGAAACCATTGGATTGAGTAAGTTACTATTCTAAAATAACAGAACTGACGTTAAGAAGTGTATGTCACACTGTCGGTCATAAGCAACGTAGAACCGATCATATATATATATATTCGTTCAAGCTACCATACTATATTAACAAAGTAAGATAAGATTATTAAGACAAGTGTCAATGTAATAGAAGTAGTAACAATATCAGTGGTAATAGAAAGGATAAGCTGTAGACAATACGATTCAAAAAGTGAATTTGCTGAAAGATCTAAACGAAAACAAAGATTGAATTCATCTACGCCACTGCAACTAATTCTCAGTCATATCACGGCGTTTCTAAACATTGGTAAGGACAATTCAAGGACGCTAAACCAGGTAGTCTATACCTACCGATATGTGTTAGTCTGACAATCAGTAGCTTCGTAAACTGACAATACGTCTTGGTTTGGCCGCCCCAACTGAAAAATCCTTTGTTCTTTCATACTTCAAAAGTAAGTGTCATAGTACTATAATCACATTATCAATTAAGGAAAAACGATAATTGGAAAGTTAGGCGTCGTAAACGAACAGTATTAAGTGACGTGTATCATAAAGGTCGGATTTCATAACAGGTTAATAAAACTGACTAGATACATATTATACAAAGTGATAACAAATTTTCAATTACCTTTAGTAATTTACCACTTTGTCGAGCTAAGGTTTCTAAAAATAATTCTGGATAGTCATTCCATAATAAAGGTGTAGTAGAGGATTGTGATAAAATTGAATTGATACCCTTACTACTTTCATTATTTACTTCATTATCCGTAATTTGCTTTTGCAAATAATTCTGAACATCGTCTGATGACAGTGGTGGTAGATTATACTTGGTTTGTAGAAATTCTGGTTTAACACGTTCCAATACATCACGAATATACAGATCAGGCTGCTGTAAGTACTCTACTCTCACCTAAAGGGAAAAAATATTAGTGTACAGTGAAGGAATATTAAATTTATAAGCAGTGGGACATAACATTTAAAACATTTTATACAATTTCATTTATCGGGCATGTCGAAGAACTGAATTTATTGACTCATTTACCAAGTAAGCCCTCATGCACTTGGCTCCGGAATAGACAATATTTGTAAAGGCTAGCAGCACCAACAAGTTGCCCAAACTGAAGTGGGTGGAGCGCGGTTTGAGCCTGGGGATCGGTGGATGAGAGTCAAGCAACCTAACTACTGGGTAACTGCTTCATTATTTACAATTATAAATATGTACTTCCGGAGGGTAACTTTACATTGGTTTTCCGGAGAATCAGACACCACTAAAGCTGTTTATAATTTCAACAACACATCTCAATTATGCGGCACAACAACATAACTACCTTGATTGGTTCGGGATCTACGACCGAAAACGAGTTTTGTACACGGACAAGAAAGATAACCTTCCGAACAGAAATCTATCGCTAATACGAATGAAGGAGGTTGGGGGGGCCGTCCAGTGCTCCCAGGTTTTCAATGGCGGTTAAACATTGATCGGTTCAAGACTTTAAAGAAAGAGAATAGTTGAGGGCTACAATAGGCTTGGAAATATATAACGATAACCTTGAGATGTGGATACTGTACAAATAAATGTCAACACGACGATAGAGTGAGAGAAAAGACAAAAGCGATGACTGAATAATAAATGCTATATGTATTCAACAGAAAAGATCTTTTAGGATAGATCAGCCTTTACAATCTGTTGATTGCATAGCATATGTACTAGATATGGTACTGCAGAGCTTCTACACGTTTGTTTATGTGTGTGGATTCTAATGTACCTGCCTGTCTTGCTAAGTCATATACAAGGGGAAGAATATGAATGGAGCAAATGGTTTGTATCTGATAGAATAGCACTTGAGAGCCATCCAGAAGCTTTTAATTATTGATTTACACACACATTCATAACACCATCAAAAGATCCACTACTTTCCACACTCATAATCCTCAATACTTATAGGAATAGTGTATTATTTCTTCAAAAGTCCAGGAAAATTTAATGGGGAACAAGTATAGAATGATAGGCGAACGCTTGGTTGACTACATACATTTTATATCAATCTATTTTAATTCACAAAAATGACCACTTACAACTCCTTTCATAACTAATTCTGCTTCAGTATTACCATCAGGATAGACAACTCCGGGACAATCGATTAAGAATATAGATTTCATTAGAGTAACATACTGCCATACTTTTGTTTCGCCAGCCAATGGGGCGACATTACAAACTTTTTTATTTCTTGAAATAACAAATGAAAAATAAAAAAAGCAGTATTGATAAGCATTGTGTACTGATGACAGTCTACAGCTTAGAAGTTATACTTAGTAAATTAAGCGGTCGATATAAAACGCCAGTTTAAGACGATGGCCGAATTAGTTTTTATCCACCAAGTTTGCCTACAGAAAATGTTATACTACACTACTTGTTTTTAACCAAAATTAAAATCTTAAGTAATAATCAATTCTCATTCATTTTCAATTGTGGGTTCATTTATTAAGAAGTAACTTTCATTTTGTCGTTTTGTACCAACACCATGTATGTCAGTAACAGACAGGAATGATTAAAAGCTGATTGAAGAAATTCCTTCATTACAAATGAACTAACGCAATTTAATAAATTGAAAGCACCCACATGATTATACAATTGTGAATAATTTTGTCGACACGATGTAGCGAATTGCTGATGAGAAATCGAATTCGGGTGACACAGTATAAGCGTATATATATATATAAACGTAATAGTGAGTATATTTGTTAAAAAGGTACTTTTGAGAGCAAAAAGACAATACACAACATACCTAAGAGCATTAATGATACTACTTTTTCCAACATTTGGATAACCAATGATACCAACTGATATTTGTGGTCGTTCTTTACTATGAAGTGATGCCATTTGCCTTAAAAGACCCATGAGAGCCACTTTACCCAAAGGCTTAGTCATATCAGCGTGGAATATAAGTGTAGGATATTCTTCAGATAAGATAGCTTTCCATCGTTTCTATATGTAGTAAAAGATATAGCAGAAAATGTTCATCTGAAAAACATATATAAATGCATATATTACCGTTGGCCAGAATAAGAAAACTTGAAACGAGTTAAGTAGATTGCCATTGGTGACTTTGAAAAGCAATGGTTAGGTTGAAGGTTATTTCTCACGACACATTAAGATTCCTAAAATTACGGATCGAATAACGAAAAAGTATTTTTTGTGATACAATCCTTTCTATCCTTCTATAGACATACATTTTCCATATAACTATATATACGAATGTACAGCTTAAGTAAATGATTTCGTCGAAAAGAAAATTTTCTTCGCTGAATTCTCTTTTTCTTATTCAATGACACTATGGGTTATTTTGATTATCGAAAAAGTATTCCATGGTGAGCTCAATAAATAGATTGTTAGATGGTTCCAAAAGACAATCACGACTAGTACGTTTAGCACAAATTCCAGTGTATAGACGGACGAACACTAAGTATCAGAAAAGGGAAACCACTCTATACTTCAAATTGATCAGCATGAAGAAATCTTATCTAATAATAACACTGATTCAGCTCTGAGTCCTAAATCGAGTTCCCGAAATGAGAGGCTTCGAACTATAAACTTCCATATGTCAGAAGGATAAAATCACACTGTGGACAATTCTTCCCAGGAATTTTTGGTCATCGACTTTTGACACGATAAAAACTAACTTTTATTACTTATTAAAAGTATAAAAAATATTAAGAAAACTTTAATTGAGAAACAATGACCAGTGGAATTCGGCCATCTCGGTTGTGAGGCAGTTATCCACAATATAGCATAGAGGAATTTCGAAAATCGACTGTAGTTAGACAGTAACCTATTGGATACTGGCTTAGTGGTTTAAAAGTTATGCGCTTACTGTGAGACTTCGAGGTTCGGAGTTCGACCCCACAAGGAGCGGTAAGTGCACACTATTGGGTAGTCCTATACCAGGACGAAACGGCAGTTCACTGCTTCCTGATATCAGCTGTTGGTCTAACTAGGCTCAGTTCATGATGCAAAACTATGAGTTTTATTGACTACACTCTGATGAATAATCAAGTTATGAATATAATATGACTAACAACAATATCTTTACAGGCTTAAGTGTTAACCTTCTCAACCTGATGACATGCTGAACTTAAAGTTATAATCAAAAAATGCTTTGTGACAGGATTACTTACTCATAGAATATTAGGACACTGGGATAGTTTGTCAGTCAAGATATACCTACCAAAAGTTATGCAGTTATTGAGTTGGATGCAAAACTGCAACTGGATCTATAGGGGGTCAGTGAGCACTCAAAAGCAAACCCGATAATTTATTTATAAACTGTATTGTACTTATTGCTACAGCCATCATTCAAGTGTAGTAATTTGCTGAATTCAGTCAATTGTTTTCAAGTATACTACAAGTAAGTCATAATGGGGATTAATAGTTAGGTCTTTAGCCAAATTTTCAGCATGTGCCATGAACACATCTTGTAATAATGGTCCTATTTATTTATTTAAACACCTAAACATTGGTACAAAGAAGCACCAAATAGATATACGCCACATAAATCATCCAATTTATATGAGGGCTTGGATACTGCCCGGGAGCCCAAACCGAAGCAGGTTAGACACTGAATGAATTTTCAATTAGATATAAACAGTGTAGGATAGAATTTTTTCTTAATATAGGGTAATAGGTAATACATTTTAGTTTTGAAAAAAGGATAACTGTAAAGTAATTAATTAGCCAATAATAGCATAATCAGACAGAGTTCTATGGGATTGTTATTAACCGGAAGTAGACAATAATCAGTGGGTTGAACAACTTTATATTCAATAAAAGGGAAGTATGGAGGTAATAGCGTAAATAGGTTTCATTTATTTGTTTTCCAAGCTTTGGATTGTGAGTTATTTCTTGATCTTAAGTAGTAACAGTTTACCCGAATAACTGGGTAGAATCTAAGCATTTTTTTAAAAAGGAAATTGGCTCAGATATGTCTGTAATAACGCTAACTCGTAACAATTCACGGGTTCAGATTAACAAATCATCAGATGTTTAATTGACGCTTTTAACCATATAGATTTTAATAAAATATATCCTAGAATAAAGTAACAGAACAACTATGAGACACATACTCTGAAAAATCGGATGTTTATTTTGGCATTTTATCCTTCTTATCCAACAAATCAAAATTTTTAATTTTATGACGCTTTATTGCCACAACACAGTAATAAAAATGACATTATTTCGATGACAATATGGTGTAAGCTAACGTATAATCCAATTTTTGAGTTTGACCGAAGTATCGAAAAAATTGCTAATATCTAAGTATTCGGGCCTAGTGTAGTGATTCTTGTCAGAGCATCGAGCCACAATTTTGCCAACAAAGTATTATTATCAAATATAATTAACAGAAATTCAATTTACTGAATAAACGGAATACAGAGCATATTATGCAATACACAAAATGGCGACCAGCGGTATGTGACAAAATAAATTCAGGAGACACATCAGTATATACCCTTTTAGTTTTCTACAATGCAAAGTTTGACTTCATACATTATATCCATACTACCATTACCTATCATCAAAAATCTAGTACACGAGCTGTTCCATGAATCAAAACAACTTTTAAGATTATGGTTATTTCCAGATATTAATTTTATAATGCAAAACCAATAATATTATCATGATTAGGTACACTAGGAGGGGCTGTATAGTTCAAGATGAAATTTCACTTAGGTCCAACCGGAACATTTTACTAAGACGCGCATCAGAAGAATTGCGATAGCATGATTTTTAATAAAGGAATAAAAATAGGAAAAGAATATATACAACCTACTGTTATCCACACAGGGACTAAATCCACTTTGTTGATAATGAATATGAAATGTTTATGTGGTTTTTCAGTTTTTAAGTACTTCTCAATATAAGGAGATCGTGTGCCCATTGGATCGCGCGCATCCAAAATATACAGTACAACATCTGAAGAGTCTAAAACCTAGAAATAAACATTCAGACAGTAAAAAATCGTTTAAAACGTCACACAGAAAATACACAAACACTTGGTATATTTTTAATATCTCATAATATAATAATGCTAAATGAAGCTCATGGAGCGGTGGCCTATTGATTAAAGCATTTAACTTTCAGCCATTACGTTTCCGGTCCGAACCCTTCTCCATCTACTCAAGTTTAGGCAACTGGGTAGTAGTATTATTAACTCTCACATTTAGAGTGTACTTCATACCCAAGTACCTGGTGAAAGAGTTAAATTACTTATTTATTAGAGAGAGTTCTAGAATGATTCATTTATTATTATATAAACACGTAACATTGGTACAAAGCGGTAGCCAAATAGATATGCGCCACACAAAGTAGCTATCATTTATTTTGTGCGTGAGCTGGCATACTGGCTGGATGTCCAGATCGAAAGGGTGGTTTTCTTAGGGGGCCATTCCCGGGACCTTTGACCTAGAGATCTATTCCACAGCACAGTGGAGCAACGATGATAAGAGGTCCCATGGAACCCGATGGTCAAAAATAGGTTTATACACCACTCGTTCCTATTATATCCCGATGGGAATAACGAATGGTAACTTTGAGGATCCATTTATGGACCAATACTATACATATATTTTATCGTTTAATTGTTAAGTAACTATACTATTCATATTCGTGTCTATTTTATTATGAGCTTCATTTTGACCTATGAACTAATATTATACGATTTGCCATTCTTAAGTTATTCCCAATTTATTAATTACAGTCCCTCACATTCACAGCCACTTTTGGCTAAATCTCGTGCAAACTTTGTTTCCTATTTTATGGTACGATGTGGTCTGTTTGGTTGGTATATAACCCCAGTATGTTTGAAATAAATGATTCACATCGCAGGGGCTGAGATTGATGTTCTGAACTTAACAGGCAGGGATAGGCAGGAAGCAGGACCGATAAGGATTCTAGACTGCTCTCACTTGTTTTATGTGTCATTGGTCCGGTCGATAATCCACTGTTTTCTGATTGGCGGTATCACTCCGTTGTACATTAATGGGACGCAGGGTACAAGTTATAACAGTTCCCTCAAGATCTTGGAGCCCATGTGCACCATTGGTTTGGAGTCGGGGTTTTTCAACTTTATTAGATGGGCCCTCCGTTAAAGCTCCGGTTATTCACTTTTCGTCCTCTCAATTTAGCGAGAAGGCAATTAGTATGATTTCTCTGGCAGTGTCTGTAAGCCCATCACCATGTGAGAGCACTTCGAGAGGGAGAACCGACTCTTCCCACTTTCGGCCATACCAGGGCATCTGGCACAAGAGATTAGTGATAATAACTTAGCTTTAACTCTTTATATAGCTGAAGCAATAAGTCTCGAGTTTGGAAGCGTACATAAAAGTTAGTGATAAGCTGACCTGATTCATATTTGTGCCAAGCTCTATGTTGAGTATAACTGACTGACTTGATAGGTTTAAAAAGTTTCGAACTGAATTTTAAGTAATCTATTACTTGAAGCATCTTAATGTTAAGTTAATTACACACTGTACTACTTTAACGTTTAAGAACTATCCTGAAAATATAAAAAGATATATCCGAATTTAAGAACAAAGGCTTAGTACTTTTTCCTGTTAAACGGGGCATATATCTCCGAGAACACAGATTAACTTACCGACTATATAAGGGTCATTCTTGTCGGCAGTAACGCTAATACTGTGATGTAGCTATCCAGCATAGGTCAGAATCTGAGAATACACTGTGTACGAATTCTACGATGAATTATGTCAGTGGATGGAATTCTAATTTATGTGCTGCGATTTTATCAAGTGTACAGCGAAATAGTGATAGTATGATAGAGTAACATAAAATAAAGATGGGGACTGTATTGTGATTGCTTTTTTATGAATGGTAAGAAATAACAGTTAATACCACTTAGAAATATCACAGAAAGAAATAATTGACAAGGAGAACAGGAAACAAAATTTCTATTAACCTGTATTGACGCAAGCAACTAATACACATTATGCATATCTCTTAATAAGTATTTTGCTTTGGATTAGTTAGTGACTAAGGATGAACACCACCCGACGTATGTTCTTGAAATATAACTAGTCTCTCCCTTAAAACTTAATCCCATACAAGAATGACCATCCGATTGTTCACACGTGGGAAATCTTTTAATCACCGAAATGGTCACTGATTGTGGGAGAAGTGAGAATAATGTTTGAATGAAATAGAATTACGTAGGTCTTATAACAACCAGAACAAGATATTGGGTGAAGGAAATAATGTCTCGTTTTCTGTACATAAGTACATTTCAGTTTACTAACTCATTAATAAGAAATCGTTTTCTTGTTACTTTATCTCAAATGGCCAGTCTTTCCAACTCAGTGGTCTTGAGCGCTGTTAGAGGTATGAGAACAGTTACCACTTCCCGGTTGCCCACATTGTGGGAGGGTTCTCTGGAGGTACCTGAAAAGGAAATCGGGTTACGGGTGATCTTAGTGACCTAACAGCAGTGAGCAAGGGACAACTGCTTGAGGTCGGCCACACACGACGTTGTTGTGGGTAATTTTCGTGTTAAATTCGTACTTGTTGAGACCTTACCGCTGGAGACGGATATCCGTGGGATAAGGCGAGGTGTACATTTTTAGGGTCGGCCTTTTCTGACCCCATCCCTCCTTGTGGAAAGGCAGCGCCGCTGTTATACTGGTCTGAAGGAAACACCTTACTCCCGTCACACCTCTGTGTAGTCAGCAGTACGACTTTGCCTTCGGACCTTGGGTTTGCTGCTTTTAGCCTTACTGCTGTTTAACCGATCTATCTGGTAGGGTAGAACCTTGAGGAACGATTGTTCCAGTCAGTATAGTTCGATTGGTTCATTACGATAAGCAAGCCCGAACAGCACGTCAAGGTAACAGCAACGGTAGGGCTTTCCGACTGGAAATCACGAATAGAAACTGATAGTTGAAGGTCTCAGATAGGATGACATAGAACAAACGTTAGCGACATAGATGTGATGTTCCTGTTTATTCCAAGACATTTATACTGTTAGTATAGTTTCTTTCTAATGTTTCGAATTGCGCTAGATCGCATTAATGTACTAACAGGTCTTATTATACACTGTAAGTGGTGATGCTTTAGGACCATGAAATAGATTAAATTAGCCTTATTGTTGCAAAAAATATAAATCTATAGTTAATGGGGCTTTGAAACAAACTAACAAACTGAATGTTGTATAATAGTTAAATGGGTGAGACTTTAATTTATGGACGAGCCAATCAGAAGCGTTTTAAAGATTTCAAGGTTACGGCGCCAACTCCAGGGCTTTATGCTAACGTACGATGGGTTCATAACGAATTTTGTAGAAAACGTGATAACTGAGCGGCTATAACAAACAAAACGGCGAGACTATAATTTGTGAACGAATCAATCAGGCATGAGATAATAGATCTCGGATTTTAATGCGAAAGCCTTTCATCCTTTTGGTTAAATAAACTCCTGGCATTATAGCTGATGTCAGTTCGTGATGAAGACCGCATATATAATTCCCGAATACGGCAAATTATGACAACTATCGCGGACTGGATAATAAAAGCACCAGTAACACTGGTTGCAGCCAGGTACTACAATATATTCGGATGACTGGAGAGCGTACAGACTCCTACATAGGCTTGGTTATGTGCGTCGTGTCATTGTCCAGAAGTAGCATTTTGTGTACTCAACAGCTGAAGTACACATAAACAATATTAGAACTATGTATTCGAGGCTGAAAGGGTTTTTGAGACTTTATCATGGCTCCAGAGGCCGACTATTCTGTGGCTGTATGGATGATTTCCTCTACTGCAGGCTTTACTTCACAACCTCAGAACCTCTTTCTAACCTTGACAAGTTTTTGAACCACGTATAAGAAGTGTATCCACTTTGTTTCCCTGGTTTTGTATAATATATTTTTACTCTACAGACTGTTTGCCGATTGACTAACATTTTCCAAGGTCACTTAAGATTCGTTCAAAGGTCGTACATAAATTACAGTCTCGCCGTTAAATGTCTTAGAAACTTGCCTTAAATAACTCATTCCATAGTCTCTTCGATCGACCAGCTTTGAAGTGAGGATCCTGTGTTAATTCTCGGACACCATCATCACATCGAACCATATGCTTATCATCCGTCGAGTTATACAAATACTGATTTGACTCAGCATGTTGTACAAGTGACTAAAGAACACGAAAATATTAAGTGTTAGTTGTTTGACGTGTGTACTACTGAAGGGGTGAAAAATGATTTGACGAAAATTACATGAATGCAAATAAGTTCGTCGATAATGTGGTCACGAGTGATACAGAGTCAATCAAGAAATTATTTGCTTTCTACTTTTATTGAAGGATTTCATGATATTCTAACAAACAGGTAGTTACATCAAATGATAGCGCTAATAATCATAACATAATCAGTATCTTCGAAACGTTTTGAAAATCCAACACCAGGGTACTTGTTACAATAATCTTACCTGTCATTCAGTAAACAAAATTCAAAGAATCAGTGTCTAGCTACCATGAAGTTATTTTCATCAACTGAACTTAATTAACAACTAAAAAACAATTATGTAGCTTTTTGTGTTAATAGAAACCTTGATTTGTTTACACACAACATTCTTAGTGCCATGAAGCACTAAAAACATCATATAAAGGAGATGGCAATTACCTAAAGAAACGGTAAAGTTATGAGATAGTAACATACAATACCGAACGGTAGCAGTAATTACATCCAGTTGCCAATGTGTCTTGCACTACAATAATCAACGACTAACGGGAAGCCAAGGTATATCATTAAATCTGAGGGGCCAGACTTTATCAGCGTACGGAAAAATGTATGCCTGACAGGCTGTAACAGCGCCGAATTCGTTTTACATGCAGTGCTACTACCATTGCCACTACGATGTCGATACCAATAAAAACTACGAGAATAAAACTTTTTAGTACTTCCGCCAGCAATTGGAATCTCAAATCTTGGAAACCTGGGACGCCAATTATTAACTGAATACATTCCATTGTGATCACAACATACAGTTCCAGCAACTTATATCAGACAATGGTTTGGCGATTTCTTGTTACTATTTAATGCAACTTGTGCATATCGCCATTCAATCATCCGATAAGACTACAGCGTTTATAGTTATTTAAAGAGCATTTACTACTTCTCGGGAGGTCTACCACAAAAGTAAGACAGCTTGATTCAGAAAATAGGCAAGCGAAAGACATAAATTATTTACCGACAGATCATCAAACTCCAACGAAGGTCTTTTGCGCTGTGCTTTATCCCCAAATACATAGGAATAGCTCTGTGATGTTAAAAGAGCACTTTTAGTTTTCTACAACATAATATAACACAAGTAAACTAATACCGTCTTCTTCTCATCCAAAAGTGATATAGGCAAGCGAGTTTGACGTAAAATAATTTCGTAGGGATTTCGGATCTTCATCGCTTCTTTGAAACTTTGTAACGTATCTTGACTTATAACACGTGTATTGCCTAAATACGCCTATTACTTGCAAGAGCCAACCCACCAAACCATCGTCTATTAGGCTCGACCCGTGCAACTGTACCGGACGGTAGAGTTGATTGAAAAGGTGCAGGGCGAACTATTTTCCCATTTTTGTTCCTACGTCAACATCGTACAAGTAAGCCATACAAACCTTTTGGCCTTGAAATTACGGTACATATTAAGTCGCTTAATAGTAGCCTTAGTTCGCATTGTACTTCCCTTGGGCTGTTTTTCTCTATCTACACAAATGAAGCATTTTATTTTACACATTACCTGGGTTAAGTGAATGTTTCGCATGACTAATAGCGTTCTTAAATTTACATTTGACCATTTTGTGATGTAGTTCACGTAACGTGATGTTTTAAGAAACCCTCCCTCTAGTTACAAACTATCCGTGAAAAAGCATACATATAGTGGTCATTGATTGTATATATTTTCTATCAGTTAATCATATTTTTATATGTACATTTTTTAATATCTATAACCATTCCATATGTACTTATGATCATTATCAATTTTCACTTTCCGCAACTGATCCAGATTTAGAAGTATCTGGATAGTCAGATTTATTTTCTCTGAGCTCACGCAGCATCTGAGTCATTGCACAGCAAGGTAAGACACATGCAATGCAACAGTCCAAACATAATGATCCACGTATCCCACGTTTGCGTCGAAACGATTTTCTGGAACACCCTAATATGGGGCCCCAGCAACAACATGAGAATATTGACATGATATAGGCGTATAAGTACGAAAAAGGTCGCCGAATTCTGGTTGTGTCTTTGACTATTTCCTCAAATGCGCATATTGGCATAAGACAAATAAAACAAAGATTTCCACAGCCTTGAGCTGTACAACATGTCCCACATAGATTGTAAATAAATTTTGGAGGTTTGTCAACAGAGTCATCAGTTCCTCCCATGTAATCGTTAGTTGTCAGTGCAGAAAGTTCACTAACTTCTCAAGAATCCTCAATCATGTATATTCACACAGCTCGTATTTATAAATAGAATTCTCTAAAGGTTTGAAAAATGGGTCGATAAATGTTGATTTGAACTATTTTGCCTCACGTGACTGTGGCTATTAACTCTAAATCAGACTTATATTGTCTTTATATAACGCAAACGAAGCATAATGTATCAACCTCATCTATGAAATTATGCCGGATTATTCAAGACTATTGTGATTTATGTTTTCCGGATGACTGCTCAATGTATCCGTGTGTAAGTGTACATATCTAACGATATTTGTTAGATGCATTTTGTTGATGCTGATCACATGAGGAAACGACCCCAAGATCTGAAAACCCCAGTCGCTAAAAACTGTATAGCATTTGGAATTGTTGTCAGATATTTGATCACATGATTCTTGTGAGTATATGGATAAATAAAGACCGCAAGTTTGTTCGCTGATAGGTTCAAAGAAACTGAACGCTTACAATCAATTCTCAAAAGTTTTTCCATATTGCACTCAAAAACGCCAAAACTAGCCAGTTAATTAAACCAGATCAAATGTGTAACTGGCTATTATTGAACTAATCCAAGGCTTTCTAATGAATACCATGGTCTGTACGCTTCTCATCATTGTTTTTTTCTAGGTAGGCTTTGTAATACGAAGCAGTTGACCATGTGCAACTGCAACATGATACTGGCAATGCACAATTTTTATGAGTACATACCTCTTCAAACTATAACTGCACAAACATTTATCCTAGCGTCATATCTTACTGCAATAATAAGTTAATTTTTCTTAATTATTTTGTATTTTCTATTTTTTTTTACTAATTTGACGATACATACATAGTCGTTTATTCCTGTTCTGTGTTCATAAACACGCCTATTAAACTATTTGCGTATTTCACGTCTCCTTTATTTCTATTCCCTTTTTCTCTATTTCCTTTTTTTAAACTCAACTCAATATTCTTGTCAATTACACAGACCTGATTTATTATTATTAATATTCTACTATTATTACTCTATTTTTTTAAATATGGCAAGTATAATACTAACATTATTGAAACTTGTGTATTATTGCATTTTTGAAGAAACCCAAAATGGCGTCTTCACAGCACTTATGTACCCATAAGATGTTTGTGAATAATAATAATAATAAACTTATGCAAATCTTTTGAGAAAGTCATGAACTCCTTTGAATTTAAATCTGAGAGTATAAGCCGATGTCTGCTTAATTAACATGTCCACCGAAAACCATCACAATTTGTTCTGTGATGCAGGATTCACGTGTTAAATGAGTCACGAAAAATTTCTGCTTTAAAGACAATTTTTTTGTTGTGCCTGGATATAGTATATCGGCTAATCTGTCTCTTCAGTCTCTGCCAAAAAAAGTAATTTTAAAACCTTAAGTGACTTATGAAATCCTAATGATCTTAGTGTTTTCATGAGGAGTTGGATGGCATAACTGACAGTTACATATTTACTATTTAAATGCCGACGAAAAATGCTAAGGATCAACAGTACTGAAACATAGTGGATAAGAAACGGCTTGAGTCAATGAAACATAACGCGCAGAGATGAATAGACGGCATAATTTGGCCTGTGAAGTAGTGATTATGTTCCTAGCACTTTTTATCCTGCTCTCTTGAAAAAACTGAAAACATAGGATGAACTGCACATCAGTTCGAATTGAACTAATCCAGCGCGCCAACACAGTGTGATTTTAGCATAGGGGCATGTAATTTAGTCAGTTTCATCATTCTGAAAGTTACGAAGCCTTTTATTATTTTTAGTTTTAATTAAGGTCTCTTACGTTTATTCTTTATCTTCCATTAATCATCACCATAAGTGTGCTGACCAGTATTCACAGGTATTGATATAACAATAATGAGGGAGATATTTAGGTTACTGGTTACTAATGAGACATAATCTAAGTATCTGGGAGCTCGAAATATTTACGATTCGACCATTCGAAAGCACAGAATATTGTATTCAGCAAAGCTTCTTAGGGAGTCCATGGAGTACCATAAACGCTTATATTCATAAATTAACCAGGGGAATAAGAGAAAATGTAGAATCCCAGCACGATGATAAAACAGTATTAATACATCACTAGAGGGGAGCGATCATGGTAAATTCCAGATATCCTCAAATTACTTTAGAAATGTATATACTGTGAAGATGCTCCTCCTCTCGATTCATACAACTTCCTCCATACGCACTCTGGACAGTGACTCCTAATGAACTCGATGTTTTGGGTCTGCTAAGTATGCTTAATTTAAGTAAATCGGTGGTACCCGATGAAACGCATTCTAAGTTGTTGAAGGAATTAGAATATTTTTTCTCAAATTTACTAAGCATATGTTTAAATATATGTCCGCAACCCAGGGTTGATTACCAAAAGGCTAGAGGAATGCTATAGAAGTCGTACCTTTAAAACAGAGACGAGACATGAATCTAAGATTTATCGTTCAGCAAGCCTAACCAGTCTGGTTGTTAAAATTTTAGAAAAGCTTTTTGGAAAAAGTTATGTAAGTATCCAGACAAAAAGCGGATCCTTTCTGGAGAGCATCGTGCCTTTAGAACAGATAAATATGTAACTGTCAGTTATGCCATCCAACTCCTCATGAAAACACTAAGATCATTAGGATTTCATAAGTCACTTAAGGTTTTAAAATTACTTTTTTTGGCAGAGACTGAAGAGACAGATTAGCCGATATACTATATCCAGGCACAACAAAAAAATTGTCTTTAAAGCAGAAATTTTTCGTGACTCATTTAACACGTGAATCCTGCATCACAGAACAAATTGTGATGGTTTTCGGTGGACATGTTAATTAAGCAGACATCGGCTTATACTCTCAGATTTAAATTCAAAGGAGTTCATGACTTTCTCAAAAGATTTGCATAAGTTTATTGTTATTATTATTCACAAACATCTTATGGGTACATAAGTGCTGTGAAGACGCCATTTTGGGTTTCTTCAAAAATGCAATAATACACAAGTTTCAATAATGTTAGTATTATACTTGCCATATTTAAAAAAATAGAGTAATAATAGTAGAATATTAATAATAATAAATCAGGTCTGTGTAATTGACAAGAATATTGAGTTGAGTTTAAAAAAAGGAAATAGAGAAAAAGGGAATAGAAATAAAGGAGACGTGAAATACGCAAATAGTTTAATAGGCGTGTTTATGAACACAGAACAGGAATAAACGACTATGTATGTATCGTCAAATTAGTAAAAAAAAATAGAAAATACAAAATAATTAAGAAAAATTAACTTATTATTGCAGTAAGATATGACGCTAGGATAAATGTTTGTGCAGTTATAGTTTGAAGAGGTATGTACTCATAAAAATTGTGCATTGCCAGTATCATGTTGCAGTTGCACATGGTCAACTGCTTCGTATTACAAAGCCTACCTAGAAAAAAACAATGATGAGAAGCGTACAGACCATGGTATTCATTAGAAAGCCTTGGATGAGTTTTTCGTATTTCTTTAGACACAATGATCCCGCGACCAATTAAAATGTGATAGGATGGTTGGCGGTAGGCAGGAGTAACGAAATGTGTGGATGTACTTTGAGAATTTGTCGGAGGAAACGCGCCCCATGATGTATCTGGACGTAATCTAAGAAAAAAGCTTGACCGAATGACTTCAGTTAGTGGTAAGGTCCACTAAAATAACATGATCAGCATCAACATCGAATGTTTTTATAAAGCTATTTCTTTTGAGAACCTACTAGTCACTACACAATTCAATCCAAGATCTATCACGCGCAGATCTGTTTTGTGTAATGATGATTGAGTTATGACTAATTCTTCAGTCACAATTTGCGATGTAGACACATTAAACTGTGCATGTAGGTAAGCAAACTTACGTTAATTTTAAGCTACCAATTTCAATGATATTTTAGACTGACTATCCAGATCTCAGTGCATCCGTTATTTTGGAAAAAAGCACAGTCCCTGTGATAATAAGTTCTACCTGGGAGATTCATATTAATTACCATCATGATGTTCTCAGTCGATGTGCTAAGACGTTTGGGACTGACGATCACGAATTTACTCCTGATGACTAATTTTATAGAGAGCTCAGTTTACCGAAAGCATTTTTTGCAAGTGTTAACCATATTTTGGCCATTACTTCGTTTTGTAGTAATCTTTGCAGGCATATATTTTTCAGTACCACTTTCACCAATGTATTGCAGCTACTACGAGGTTCTCAGTCACATAGGCTACAATAAGTCATAAATAGCGACAGACATTTCTCTAAAAAGATTGATATCATCATACTACCACATCTTTTAGTACAAAACATAAACTACAACTAACGGAAACAAGAGAAAACTCAGAGTAGTGACTCAATTTACACAAGACGTGTATACGGATGTTCGGTCAGGTGTACCTGGTTTTATTCTCACGACGAATTTCAAAAAAATCAAGAACTGAACAGTACCCTGAGGAGATTTTTATTAATTGTGGTTTAAATATTAAAGCCATAAAGTGAACTCACATTGCGTTTCCTGGTGAAGCGGCAAACCAAATAAAAAGGATTTAGGAAGAAACAAACAAATTCATGTCAAAATATGAAACAACTTTAGTTATGAGTTACATGAGTATTTAGAGCTGATAAGAAGTAAACTAGCAAGAGTTTTTATTATTGTTAAACTTTACCAAATAAAACAAGATTTGATGAAAACTTGAAACCTAAAATACCCTTTGAAGCCTGAATAATGAATTCGAACAACGGTGAGCTTCCTAAATGCCTTAAGGAATAACAAGTTATGCTGACATATTCCATAATCAAATGGCAAAACAATGAGAGATCATATATTAGGATTTTATATGTGAATTAGTGAACTTACTACCAGTCTATTTGCTTCTTATCTTCCGCTTAATTTTAGACTCAGAGACTCTCTACTAAACGACTAAAAACCACCACATGTAAAAGATGGCTCAGGGTTTTCCATTTATACATCGTGTGGCTGAAGGTAAGACGTTACCACAAATCTAAACCCTTATAAAGAAACTAAAATTCAGAAGAGACCATTTTCAAAGCAGTAAACTCATTTTTAGCTCAATCGCCATTGTTATGAGTGGTGTATGAAGGTTTGTTTTAAATATCTCCAGTGCTGCGTTTTCGTAAGAGATAACGTTTTATCGCTGGCACTACAATGGCGACAGCTATAGCAGTTAAACAGAATGTTGGAAATGTAAACTTCGGCTTCCTTATCATCTCTTTGATAGTGGTCGAAAATGTTTCCTAATGAGCTAGGAGTCGAACTCCAGTCTCTGGTTTTTATAAAAAAGCTGTTTGCGGTTGCGGTATCTTATGTTTTGTATTTCAGGGATATTTTTCCTGAATCCGCTTTTCATGACAAACAACTGGAAGGTATAAAACAGCATCAAATTACTCAATTTCAGGAATCGAGCTAAAGATTTTGAAAGAAAGCTCTATCTTACCTGCTTCTTCAAAAATAGTTTATTGGCTTAAGGGTTGTTTCGATGCCATCGACCGTCATTTTGTAGGTCTATTAAGCAATACAGAATAAAGTTTTGTCTAGCTTAAATCAGCGACCATTGCGCTTTATTTGTCGGACAAAGATTTACATCCCAGCAAAATTTGTGAATATAACATCATTGAGTCCTATTGTTTCAGACTTTCTTATGGCCAGGAGAAGCTATCACTTGATTTAAAAACTGAAAACAAAAGAGAACCCAGCACTATATGCGAGATCTCGAACTGCTCTGAAATTGAAGTACGGAATGCTACTTTGAATCTACTCAAAAATATTCGAACTGCTGGAGAAAGATTATCCAAGTTACCATCGGAACTAATGATAACGATGAAACTGCAGTATTACGACGAAGGTAACCGTTGTTTTAAAAAATTTCGTTAACTATCAAGGTTGATATTTTAAATATTGCTGACATCTTTTATTTTTGTTTACTTACAAGATTTACTCATTTCAAAATATTGAGTCGATCTTGAAACTCAGTAATCTGAAGGTTTAAGATTAATAGTGATATGAGAATACCGTTTTTGACTTCACAAATGCATATGAACCCAGTTTAATCATGAAACGGCGTATTCTAGACCGGAATTTCTACTGAAACTTTCAACCTTAGGTACATAAAAAATACTCAAGGTCTATATTTATTATTTCCAAAAACAAGTACACTGATTGAAATTAATGATTAAAAAGATGACAAGGTAATTGAGCTTTCGTGATTTATGTTTTGAATTTCCTAGTTTGAGGAACGAATATTAAATAGATGTGAAAATATTTTCATCAAATATTGTTAATTCACAGTTTGCTAGAAACGGGTTTACAGTAGTTGTTGCCATCACATCACTGGAAACGTAATAGTTTTCAAACAAATATACTCGCGCTAATCTGCTGACGTCAGTGTAAAAGCAAAGGTCATATAAAATGTTTTAGAAGGAGTCGTTCTTGGTTTGTTTTAAATTGTAGCACTGAATATTTCATCAAAAACCTGAGGAAAGACTTGTGAATATAATGTCATACTACTCGCCACTTTTTAAAAAACGTCTTACCGCTTGCGTCACATTATGGTCGTAATATCATGCTACACGCCTGGAACATACAAAAGCGTTTCTTATTTTTATATCCGTGATGTACAGTTTCAAAGGCGGTTGCATGTGAAACAAATAACTTCTGTAGTCACGGCATAACAGCATATAATATGTCAGATTGGTTCAAAACTGAGTTGGTAGCACAAGGCTTAATCACTTCGCTAATGTGCTTTAAGAATTTGTTGATTGGGTTTTTTACATTCATGTTTAGTAATATGGGTAAAATGTCTAATATTTAAATGGTTATTTTCATGAGTATATGTCTCATTTAACCCGTTGTTTTCTATTTATTCCAAAACACTGTAATTAAAAGTTGTGTATTGATTAGTTTAAAAAGATCCATGTTGTGTGTGCATGTGATGTCGGTAGTTACAATGACATGAGTGATTTTTTAAAAGGAGATGTTTTTTTTACCATTAGTGCAAAAACTGGTAGTATTTTGCATGTAAAATATTAAAAATATAGCCTTTTGTTGGTCAAGATGAATTTGATGGAATAAGGAGGCTGGACATTTAAAAGCTGTGATCAGGTTTTTTATAAAAACGGACTAGAATAAAACATTTCAAAGACGGTATATTTAAGTATTCAGTGTCAATCACAAAATTTCATCACGTAAATTTCATAAATCACGAAATAATAGACCGAAATATGAGGCAGTAAGTTATTTGATAACTTATATACCAAGCTGTGCGCCTCCATTTGTATTTTCCTATTCGAAATGAGATAACAGTCCCAGCAAAAGACTCAAGCATGCAAATGTTATTAGCCATCTTTATATGGAGATGGAGTTTCACTCAACAACGACTTATTTCTAGATTCCACTACTTCACTATTTGCTTTTTAATTTGTATGGGCTTCGTTGGAGAGCTTTGCTGTACTTAATGATGAATCTAGTTATCATATGCCAGAAGGCTATTAGTATTTCTTCAGATACGGTCGATGAGATGAAATAAGTCTTTGGCTCATATAGATAAGTCTTCATAAATAAAATAGCTTAGGAAATTAGCCCTATCCTAATTAGTTTGAGCACAACTTTTTGAAAATGAAACTGAAAGCGGGGTATATGCTTGTTTCAGATTATTTTTTATTCTATTACAGTCATCCTCTAGTGGTTATATACTTATCTAAAGCCATTTTATTAATTCAGCTGGAACATTTCTCTGTTAACGTTTATGATTAAAATTCATCGTAAAGCAACTAGTATCTTTGTTTAGTTTTCTTTTGCAAGCAAATCAACTGGATGTAACATGTTTGTGTGTTGCTGTTTGTCACAGTAAAACACCACGTGACCTTAGGTCATTGTTTGTTAATTTGTTACGACACAACCAGTAACTGATAAAAAAGTAAACAATTTTTAAACAACTAATTATAAGTTGGAGTAATAAAATTAAGCCTAAAATCTTAGTTGAATGCAAAGACGAGTGGCGAGTTGCTAAAATTAACCTCAATCATAAACAAAATAAACCGTCATTTTGTACGAAAGATCTTTTTGAGTTATTCACCTGACTACAAGCAGTCAATGAAAAATAAAATAAAATAACTCCAAATAGTTATGTAAAACGCTCAAAAATAGAATCAGATTTTCGTTATATGAAAGCAGTAAGTTATTATGAGATGAATTTTGATCTAAGCTTACGTGGTTGAGTGATAGATTTTAGGAAGTTTAAATTGCTAGTTCTAAAAGGCATGTTTAGTTGTTAATAAAGTAATAAATAAATAAACAGTGAGCAAAGTATATAATTGAACCACAAAATTAATTATCAGTCTACATGCAATCTATGCTTTAATTTTAGTTACTCCAGAGAGTTACGTTCCTCCTGGATTCAAGCATGCAGATAATGTCATTTTCAACTTTGAAGAAGATAACATTAATATACGGCTCGGTAATGTGAAAACTGTATGTTAACATATTTTACTGAACTAACATTATGTTACCAGGCTCACCACAGGTATGTGTTATTTCATAAAGAGAAGTTGCCGTAGCATCAAAATGCACATACAGACTAGTCGACGATTATTAGCCGGATCTGTAAAATCTACTAAATCAACACAAGAAGATGAGAGCATCCATGAACTTTCGGTTAGTTTTATCATTTTACTCAGTATTCGTATTATGAATTAAACAATTCAACGGGACTTTGCTTTTCTAATCATAAAATTAAGGTTTCTTTTTGTTAGAGACGTCCAAGTTTAGTTTAGAATTTGAAGCTTGATTGGAAACAAACTATTAGGAGTATTTTTTCGGCATTTAGCTATGAAAATAATTTAGGAATTTGACAGTACAACTCAATATTTGAATCGCAACTGCTTATGTGTGTAAACTGTAGTCAATTCATTTGATTAAATAAAATCAGAAAACCTGATGAACCACAAAGTTTACTGCGCAGTTGTCAGATGACATCATAATTAATATAAATAGATAATAGAGCGATAACATGACACAGTAAACTTAAACAGTTATTCGTACACAAACTTATTCTACTTCAAATGATTTGTACATTTTAAATGTCCAAATGAACTGTTCAATTTTAAACTGTATGACAATAAATTGGATCCTTTCAATGATTAGGTAGAAATTATTGAAATAGGAATGCAATTTGATGAAATTCATCGGTTCAAAATGAAGACTTTGAAAGAGGTCAATAAAAATTATGATAGTTTGTGAATAAACAACTACAAACAAACTAGCAGCACAACTGTGTCCAGACTTCAAACTAATTACCTGAAAAAATAGTTATAAATTGTTTCAACTTATATATCCATGGTGGACCAAACAATATATGGGCTTAAAATAGTAATAAAGTTGTTGCGTACAAACAGTAGTATTATAAAATATCAGTTATACGTTATAAAAACAAGAAAAAATTATGGGCGTTAATTAAGTCAGCTGGCTTGTGTGTGCTCAGATTGCGTTTGGTACCAGAATCCACAATTATAGATGATTAATGATTCTAATAAGATTGTTGTGCTTCCAGTGATATAGCCAAACGTAGAATATAATATAAATGTGGTTGCAGTCTATAAACGTAGACAGTAGATGACTGAGAGTTCAATTATCACAACCACGAGCAATAGAGAACGAGTGGTGTGTGTATAGTAGTGTATTCGCTAGCAGTTAACAGCGTGTGTCATGCTATGCGTGTAACAGTGGAAGAAAGTGTGTTCAGGGTCATACACTTAAACAACATGTACAATCATTTTGTGGTAAATATACAAACTGTAAAAACTAACAGAATAAATACAAACAACATCAGGAACTATTTACAAAATAAGTTTGTCATGCCTATCTCCACATATCACTTGAAAATTGGTAAACTAATGTATGTCGTACAGATAATGTAATTTGCAAGAACTCAAGTGATTGAAGCTTGATTCTAATGCTACTTCTGATTCATGTCCGTTTACAGGTAAACTGTACAAACTGGGCCTTAGTTCTCCTATTGTTCAGCTAAATATATGGAATTTGTTGGTTTTACCTCATACTGATTAGAATAGTTGTCAGTTTGAAGTAATGAAAAAGTTTAAATGGAGTTCATTCGTCTAAACGTAACCAGGGAAGGATATCAAAGGAATCTTATTTTTGAATTGGTCTAGTAGCACTAAACTAACGATATAAGTTAGCAAACATTTGCAAGGAAGTTTCTAACAACAACTAAGTTAAACGTTGTTCAGTTATTCAAAGAATAAACAATGGGATGGATGTTTTTTATAAAATGCGAGAAAGCCCCAAATATTACATAAAACGGTCGACCAGCTTTTAAGGAAAAATACACTGTACAAATAGACTGTATCTTAGTCTATATTTCCATTGTCTTTACAGTTAGGTTCTCTGAATGCGAGTAAAGTGAATGAAAACGATGACCTCACTTTATCATTTCAACAACAAACACTAAGATCTGATGAAAATGAATTAGAAAGTTATGAAGCTCGCTGCCCATGTGGAGTAAATAAGGTAAGTGAACAATAATGAAATCTAAAAGTCAAAAATTACGATAAACTTCTGGCTGAAGTAACACACCAAAAACGTTTTATCCACATCGATGGAATTTTAACGTGAAGATAGTTATCGACCAACGTTAATGGTTTTGTATAAATCCAAGAATTCAGTACGTAATTACTTAGGAATAATTTTATTTGTATGAGTCACAAAATATTTACCATTTCAAATCTAATTATAGTTTTTACAACCGAGGAGTGTTAATTGACCTCGTTTCAAAAAACATTTGTCACCATGAAACTCATTTGATCATTTCATGATACCTTTAGTATTTATGTTGTTAACCCTCCTCACCTGGTTTGATTTTTCTTCGCATTAGTCCCTACTGTGATCTGCTGAAGTCCACAAAGTATTGTTACTCGTTCTAACACTACGTCTCAAACCGCAGTTCAAAACTTTTGATGTCTGATCGAACAAAAGCGTTCACCAGCTACGATTTCATTATCCCTTGTCATTGAAAATCTGTGTCTTCTAATCTTGCACTTAGCGCAAAGTCTGCTTATTGACACGACTTCATCTCATGATGTGGGATACCAGTGTGGTTCGACCATCGAGTTTATAAATACTTGACTGCAATGTTTATTAATTTACTGGTGTATGTATATCACTAAGTTCAAAAGCAGTATAGGTTTTTCTTAAGTGGATTCCAGCCAATGATCGCTTTTTACCTCTTCTTAAAGTAATCAGTAAGACTTCAGAAGTAAAGGGGAAAACATCGTTTATGTTTCATTGTTTCACTGATTGGAGTTTGGATAAAGTAAATGAATAACTCCACCTACAGCTTTCGGATATCCTTCAGACAGCTAGGCTCTCTCATCTATTAAGTGCAGCGGATGGCTTTAACGCGCAAATAAACAGGTTAAGTCAAAGCATGGCTTTCGGCCTCGTTTTTGAAAAGGTCGACGTCATCTGTTGCAAGTATCTTCAGAAACTTGTTCTCAGTTAAAGGGGATCAACCTCAATTATGAAGTGAGAAATTATCTGACCTAGTGACCGATAAAATCGACTAAACTACATTCAGATCACATTCTTGTCTTTCATCCATGAAGATATTCGATAAATAGGTGTCATTATATCTGGAGCACATATCTGGACTCTGATGACGCTTTTGAGCGATTTTGCGTTGTCTGTGAATCACAGGACACAGAAAAGTTGTAACAGGAAATCCCTAGAGAGATCAGTTAGATCAATGTGTCAGTTATATATTTATGAAAGAATGAGATTGACACAGAGCAATATTAAACTGTGTCCATCACGTGCTAGCTTATCATATTCATCGAACCATAAAAGTAACATTAACATCTTATAACGACCTCAAACGGAAGGTTAAAAAAAGTTAGCACAATTTAACTCTCTTAACTTATTTCCGATTGGAGTCTGAGAGACCACTGGATTCTACGCTTAAAGAGCTTAAACGACACGACTAGAATTTATTTGTAGGGGTTCATTTGGATTCAATGTCCCTTTTCCGCTAAGTATTGGGTTGTGATAGAACTTTGTATTTCTCATCTCTCGATTTTACTCACCATTTTCAAACCAAATGTTTTTGCTTTTTTTCCACTACTAACCTTAATACTCCGACCTATCCGATTTGTATCTTGCTAGTTCATTCCTCCTATATTGGTAGAAATTGTAGGAATTCGGGCAAACTTATATTTGTTTCAAGTTTTAAGTTGTATATGACTAACTTGACGAATATCTAAGGGGATCATATTCTTTTAAGTGCATACATTTATATTGCTAGTTTGTCAATAATAATATTTCTGGTCACTTCGAAGTGTGTATTCACTAACTTTGCTTTAATAGAATTTAAGTCACATTGCTTCCCTCGTATATTTTGTTTCAGTAGTCTAAGTGTCATACAGAAAATCCCAAATGATCTACATATACTTAAAAGTATAGTCGTCACTCTAACTGGTTACGCGTAATAGCTAGGTGTATTTTCTCTGACCAAAATTGGTTTTATTTAAGTAAAAAAGATTGAAATATTACTTCGCTATCTCTTATGAAGTGATAAACTTCAATTATTTGGAATAAGCCTTGATGTCCGACTTTTTTTCGTATTACTGAGGTAACCACTACTTAATTTGTAAATAAATTTCGACCGTGTTACTAAATGTATAATTGATGAATAATACTGATCAAGACTTATTTGAAATTTTATATCTTGGATTGTATCGTGTACAGTCTTCTAGTTAAAAAAGCTGATCAGTTTAGCATAAAAATAAAAATTTAATTAACCTATTTCCAAGAATGTTTTTTAAGCAAGTTATTCAGAGTAAGTTACCGTTCGTAACACTAATTGACTGCACTGTGTTGTGACATTTCGAAGTGCATGCTGAAACATTTTGCCAATCCACTTGAAATACACAGGTTTATGGATTTAATTTTATACAAATATTAACTGAAAACGAAAATAGTGAGAGTTATTCCACTAAATATAACAACCGTTACAAACCTAGAAATGCACAAAAATTGAATGAAATTTATTCACACCACTAAACTATCAAATTAAAAACTCTTTCTACAGTGCTTTTATCTACAACAGCAACCAATGCAAAAGTTCTAGGGATTTGTATTGGTTATTTAAAAGAAAAACCAGAAACGATTTCGTTTAAATTATGACTATATTTAATTTCAATGAATCCTTTTTCCCTTTTAAGTAGTAGGAACTTCTGCTTGGCTTAAATAGCATCTATTTAACTTCATTTTATTATGAAATTTCTCAAGTCATGTTACTCATTGAATCTTTCTTTTCTATCATATAAAGTTTATAAGATTTCACAGGTTGAAACTATGAGTCGATTGAAGCTAGACCACCATGGAAAACCTGGAAGTACCGGATGGCCGTTTCGTCCTAATATGGGACTCCTCAGCAGTGCGCATCCACGACCCCACACCACGCGGGGCTCGAACCCAGGACCTACTGGCTTCGCGCGCGAGCACTTAACCACTAAACAATTGAGCCGGCATCGAACGGTGTTAATGTCGTGGATGCGCACTGCTGAGGAGTCCCATCCTAGGACGAAACAGCCGTCCAGTGCTTCCAGGTTTTCCATGGTGGTCTAGTTTCAATCGACTCATGATTTGAACCTGTGAAGTTTCTAAAACTCTCCACAAAACCCATTCTGCTTATAAGATTGTCACATTTTAAAGAAAATTTAAAAAAAAACGAAATTTGAGAAGACACTTGAGTCCCAAAGTAGTCATTATTTTTGTTACCTCTACTTTTCAAGCAGGTAGATTATAAAGTTAAAGGATTGGTTTCACTTAGTTTTTGCATATACGCTAGTAAATAAAATATATATCAATACGATTTAAAAAAAAATCTGTTTAGGTTTTTTGAAACTAAAACCTATTTAATCTAAAACATTATTTTATGAATTGAGAATTTCTCTGTTCATATGCATTGGATTACAACTTTTATGCTTGGTATTACCATTTTGTTTTTGATTTGTTTCACCAGAAAAAACAAATAGATTTCGATTATTTTGGTTTCGACAAGATAAGTACATATTGTAATTCATACTGAATTAAACTTCATTTAGTTCGATAATCCAAAGAGTGATCAGTTGAATCAGATTTTTTTTATGAAGTGCAATCGCTTTTCAATTTTTTGTGATTTGGTATTTCTCAAGATTAGTAATTATGCCAACCGATACATGGTATCGTGACTGACAGAATGTTTTTACCACTACAAAAGTTGATTAGCATATTCGATTTGTATAAGATAGAAATGTAACTGATTATGGAAGTTCCCTGATTGACGGGAATAATTAGAAATGTATAGTTATACGTTTTATCGTAAAACAGTAAGTGATTTCACACTTAAGCAGATTTTATTGTAAAGGGTTCATAAAAAATGGTTAGGATTAAAAGATTATTATTATTACGTTAGGAGAAATTTTAGTGTTTAATTATAATGAAGTTTGATAAACTGTTTAATTTACTAAAAGAATATTGGACGTTAATAACTACAGTTTTTCTAAATATGTGGTCAAGATACATGTATACAACTTATTTGGTTATATTTTGTCCTGTTATAATACTTTAAAACGAAATTTCTATAAACGAAAAAGGTTTTGATTTTTTTTAGGACGATGGCGTGATGATTTTATGTGATGGATGTGATAAATGGCAGCATGCTGTTTGCTTTCGAATTCTACAAGAAGGAGACGTTCCTACATCACATGTTTGTGAGATCTGCGCTAAATTGAAGGTAATACCTATTAATTTTTTTCAAGTAAATGAAACCATTTTTATTCGTTTTGCAAACATTTGTTGATACGATCAATATTTTGATGACACAGTCTGCACTCAGTAAGAAAGTGGTACGTTTGAACAAATGAACGTGCCTGTACAATTTGTCTTGCGTTAAAACTTACCTTACTTTCTTGAGTGAAAAGAAGCAACTTTTGAATTATTCTACACTTAAAAAACATTTATGGCTAACTAGTTTTACGTTTAGAATATACAGAGTACAAGGTCTACTTCAGGAAAAATTATGGATATGGTTGCACTACCTGAATGTTAATCTAACTAACATATAATTATTTTTTATTCAGTTCAGTTTAAAATATCTAATTATAAAGAAAGAATTCTAGCCGTCTGTTTTCCACATTAGTTGAAAGTGTTAAAACACCGAATCCAATTTTTAAGATGTTGTTTTCAGTGTGAAAATTTAGTACTGGAATTGTAAGTTCAGTTGTAAAATAAATGATAAGTTAAATATTTTAAAAAGATAGCGTAACGTACTATGCGAAGAGCTTTTTATTAGCAGATGAAAGCTATAAAACGTTGCTACAAGTCTGTGAAAGTGGTGATACTTTAAATATACTAATAGATATTTTAAAAATGCAGCTAATAAATGTTCCTTAATTTCTATTAGGATCAATTATACTGAGAAATGTTTTGCTTGTAGTGGAGTCCTGAACGTGCATTTTATTCTATCCAGGACTCGTTGATACTCAGATAGAGACTCAAAAGGGAAAAAGGAGTTACACACTGAGCTACTGAATCTAGTTGGCATTCAGTTGTTCAACGTGCATTATATTTATATCATTATTAGAATGGGTTTGAATTATCCTGTTGTTGAATTCAAATATTCTCTAATAAAGATATAAGTATAATTAAGATAAAAAATCGAGATTTTACTTCAGTACAGTCAGTACAGTCTCCCTGCTCATACTGTAAAATACTACTACTTCACTGACGATCGTCAAAGGTATATACTTTAGGAATTCAAAAATTATTAATCGACCACCTGTAAATCCCTCATATGAATGATTTCTATGATTTTAAACGTGTGTAACTAGAATCTATTTTCCATATATATATATGACAAAAATAGTATAGTTTAAGTTATTATAACTTTGAAATTACTTTTGTTGAATCATTTAGCCTGAACTTCTTCAAACCGGAGGAATCACAGATGAAACTATTCAGAATTTGGGTGTTGAAGCTAGAAAGGTAGTTTGTTAAACTGATTAGTCTATTTTTAGTTGGTTATTTTCAAAGTGGCCTAGTAAAAAGCTTTGGGTAGTATGATCATTTATTTTAACAGTAGATCTATAAACAGTAAACCTATTACTTCCGAAAGCTAACAATAATAATTAGAAAATGAACTAAGATGTAAAAGTTCATTTATTTATTAATAATCTATTATCCAAACGAACCAGTTTAGTAATTCGTTAACAACACCATCAATATTCAGTTACAAGAGCGTAATTTATCATTGAATTTTATCACATTAAAATCCATCATCAAATAAGGACAAATAAAAAGTCTCTTTCGTTATCGGTAGTCGTATTGTTACAATATAGCCGACTCTCTATATTAAGTGATAAATTTTGTTTTGCTCATAAGAAGTATTTATTCATCTTTAATAATGGGTTGAAAAGAGTGTTCATTTAGTTTTTCTGGAACGTTTCAACTGATTCATCGCACATTTGTAACACTTTAAAATGATTGACATCAATATCCGAAATGTCTTACTGAAATTGGATGTTTTGTAGAGAAATAATGATTTTTCATAAATTTTCAAAATAATAATCGCGCTTTCTTCAAAAACATTGGTGATAAATTTCAGAGAGAACATTAACTAACATAGACCTCTTATTTTGAAGCTTCTCAGTGACACAATGGATAGGGAGTTAGATTTGCAAGTGAATAAAATCACAACAAACATACCTAAGACTATAAAGGTTTATTTCTTTATTTTTCGATTAATAGAGTAATAGTCAATGTAGTATATCCATTTGAAATGAGTTTTAATATATCAGTTATAGTATCCTCTATTCTCTGTCTAAACACAAATGTCTTGTTATTACTCAATTGTAGTATTTCTAATAGTACTTAGTCTTTGTGTATTTATACCTGCCTTTTATAAACATATCAGTTTGATCAATATAGATTTGATTTATCTTCGGGAAACACATAGATGAGTGTTAGATAATGTGAAACAGAACTACGTGGAAGCAGATTTAAACATGTATTATATCAAAGGATTAATTATTGTCGTATATTTTAGCGAGAAACCATTAACATATTTATGAATGTCGTCTTGAGTGGATTGAGGTAAATATATATTCAAACTAATCAATAAATGTCCCTAGGTATCCTAATTTCCTCTGAAAAGTAATATTGGGACTGTTAAAGTCAGTCAATTGAAGATCTGACAGTTTTAGCCAGAAAACTATATTTTTCTGTAATCAACTGGAATCCCAATTAGTAAATTTTGGATGCAAACTTCATTCATCTTATCGTTTGTTTATAGCCATTGAGTTCCCCCATAAAAGGCATTTAAGCGAATTATTAATCTGACAAGTAAAATCTAGTGGATGGGAAACTTTATTGGTATAAGAACCACATAATTTATTATCAACTAGACTAAATCTTATGAGATTGATTTGTGAACATTTGTATTTACCTTTATCTAACTTTTCACTGAACTTTAAAATTAACTCTCATTGGTTGTAATATGGATTCAACAATACAGTTTAGGAGACGGTAGAAAAACACCACACATTCTTTACTTTTAATCCAAAATTCATTTTAACTATGAATGGGATTTAGTATTAGTATCTTGAATAGATGAAATTTGCTAACTTTATTAAAGTGCAATCTTATATTTATCTACAAAGTTTCAAAAAGTGAATAGATCTAATACCGTAATACATAGTTTAAATGTTTTGTTTTGTCTTTTAGGTCCGATGTAAGGTATACGCTATAAAATAGTGAACATTTAGTATTCTCTATTCTGAAGTAAATACATGTTTCTGAGTAATTAATTGTGTTGATGAGATTTAAAGATAACAGTCAGTTAGTAATGCGTTGATATAAGTAGAAAAGGTAATTTGGAAAAATTAAGTTATTCTGACTTCTACAACTGTATCGTAGATGAAAAAAGGATACTTATTAATTTTTCTTCTAATGAGTATGCGATTATGAATATAAAAGGAATTCAATGAAGTAAAATAAGCTGTCCTCTTTTTGGCAAACCTAAACAATACTTCAGAATTACAAACTGTATTCATAACAAGTTCAGTTTTACTGCTGAAATGTGGACTTCTATTTGACGTTTTAGGAAGTGCATTAGCATCCAGCGGTAGAATTTTTCATCTCTTACAACAAGACGTCTGAGCTTAATTCTGTGTAGATTTTTTAACTTCTTGTTTTAGACTTAGAAAGTGGTATATAACTAGAAATGAAGTTTTTCACAGGTTCTTAAGTGCTAAAATCACAAATAACTTCAGTAAATTGATAAGATAATGGTAAGTGCAGATTTATTTCCATAAATATGTCAAGTTTGTGTAAAAACCATAAGTAATTTTGAAATATTTCCAGGCCACTTGTCTCTTTCGACGTGTATTAGCACTGTGTCTCAACGAAGATTCAGTCTCACCCGCTTTTATAGCTAGAAGTCTTGGAGTAGAGTATACCGTGGCTCGTGGATTATTTAATCGTTTAATCAAGGAGCAAGTTATTAAAGGAGCAGGAACGCGAAGGTAAGACGTTTTCTTAATGATAAGCTCACATAGAAACCAAAGGTTGAGATTTTTTCGGAGTTTTGATGACACTTGAAAATATCCTCTACATTGCTCATCAGATATGCAACATATTAGGAGTATCCATAAAATCGGATAAGTAAATGTATGATTTATACACTAAACATTTGATCGGATTTGTTATTAAATTATTCTCTCATCCTATCTGACCCATATTTATTCTGATCATTAATCTCACAATTTCATTTAACGTGTAAGCTTATTCAAGTTAACATTGCATATTAGTCACCTCAGCATTAACAATTTTATTTCACATGTCATACTTTTAGACAATGTATTTTGCCTTAGATCTGCCCAGTTTTCGAACTATTATTCTCAATATAATTGAAGAATTTGAAGAGAATTTATTGAGAAGAATATTTTTCGTTCATATATTAGTCTGTGAATATGATGGGAATTTTTAGATAGTTAAAATGTAACATTTCTGAAAAGAAAAGTCTGTAGTATACTGTAATACGAAATATTGGAATTATATTTTTATTTATTACCACATTCATAAGACCTGTTCTTCATTCTAGAATATCATCATTATATATCAGCAGCTATCAGTTCAAATTAATAAATACCTGGTGAAATTAAGTAGTCAGAAAATTGGATCACCAAGTAAACCACACAGAAACTTCAAATACGGATATATCATAATAGTTCTTGAGTTAAACAGTAATAATCACTGTAGTTGATTAATGTTTATTTGCTTTATTTCAGAGGTGAAAAGCTTGTTGAAAAAGAATATCTAGAAAATATAGTGTGTCCACGTTTTTTCTCTTGCATTAGTTTGCACGATAAAACATCAGTGGTAAGTAATACTTGGTTAAATGAGCATTTTGGGAGTCAATTTTGTAACCAAGATAGACAATCCATAGTGTTTTGAAATGAAATAACACAACAATATGTATTGTTTGCGTGTTCTAATACTTAATACAAAACTTCCATAGCAACATTTAATCAAGGTGTACTAGCCAACTTTTATCCAAATTTAGGATTTCTCAATTCCAGATTGGAATGAAACGGCTGACCAGCGTTCACTAATTTTCAGTGGTTGTCTGACCTATGTCAATCTGTAATGGAACACATCTTTAAATCAAACAAATCTGGATCATTATCGATTACTTCCATTCAATCATTTGGTTTTCGTTAAAATCACATAAACTAAACTTTGGATAATAAACAAGGAATATTTTCATAAATTTAGGTATCCCCTCAAATGTTAACGTCTCAAAAATCTACTACAATTCGACGGACACCTGGGGTGAGTGTGCTATGAGTATACCTTTTTACTTTTTAAACACCAACTGAAAATAGTTCTAATTTCTGAAATGCATATGAATACAAAACCAGTAACTAGTATGATCTTATAGAAATGAATTTACTGAAAAAATCTGTAATGAACTGAATGAGTTCAGTTGCAAGAGAAAAATATTTGTGTTACTTAGGTTCACCAAAATATCACGAAACTGCATTTGCCAGAAAGTATTCGACAGGTAAAATATGTACATAAGTTGTAAAGGAAACTACTGACACCTCTGGATTTTAGTAATCAAGAATTTAAATGCGTGCACTTTCAAATCAAGACTTTAGCATAGAATAATTAACGGTTTTCAGAATGTTTTAGAGTACATCGTATCATTTAAATACTATTATTATAATTCTGAAAACATTAGCATTTATTGTGTTTAGAGATTTAGTTATTACTGTAAATTTTATCCCACAGAAAATCAGAATAAACTGACTAGCTTAAGGAACACTGAGGATTTAAACACTAAAAGAAGATATATCTGATTATAAGTATGAACTACAACCAAACCTTCTAGATCTACTGAGCAAATGTTTCCTTAATGTAGCTGTCAGTTTATCGTGTTAAACCAAATTTAACCTCTGTCGTTAAGGAAAATTTAACGTCTACTGAATCCAAATAATTCTTAATGGTGACAGCCATCCACGCTTTTTCTGTTCGAGAATATTTTGTTGTTGACGGCAGTATGTGTTAAACAACTTGTTGTTTCAGTCAGTGATGTGAGGATTAAAACCGTGTGATGGTTTAAACTAGTAACCCCAACTAGGTTGCAAGAATATTCGGTCGATGTGTCATGATTATGACTAATTCTATCATTCTTATCCAGTTACCCGTCATCGCCAATCACTTAAGATCTCTTTCCGATGCAGCGAAATTATGAACGATACAAATTTTGTGCGTTTTTTCACGCTCAGCTTAATTTGAAAAGAAACGCTAAAAGGTAAGGAACGTCTTAATACCTCACCCCATATAACTAACATTCATTCTCTGATTTAGCTGTACACTGACACTGACTAACAGTAGAATGAAGGTACATTTTTCGACCTGTTCAGGAGCCGGTAACTAAATCTAAACACAACACATATCACATCATATGCCAGGGTGTGATTCTCTATGATTCTAATTTTTATTACTCACATCCATCGGAGATTTTTACATTCTATCCTATTACGACTCAGCTGCTCTTATTGCTTGGTATTCCTGGATACTTTACTTCACTAGACAAGTCCACAAATAAGAACATAGTCGAATAGGAACATAATTATATTCCAAAAAACAGGGTTGAATAGAAGTAGGAATCACAATAAGATGAACATTAGTGTATTGATAATTATACACAAGAAGATTGTAGTCTTCTCCAAGTATCCGCTAGCGCTAATTAGTTAAGAAATTGCCAATCAGTGTACTCCAAACACAATCTTGCACAGAATATGCTTTAATCCAATCCATATTCCGCTAACACCTCTCTTTTGGGCCCATCTGTGCCTTCGGTTTATCCACTTTCTAGGCAATAAAGAAGGGGCACCAGAGACTGGCCTGTCCGTTTCTGGGGTTTTGATTTCAAAGGTGTCCAGCAGAACACCAAGAGGTATTTTATGGCGAGTCTTGTTGCTGGAGATCGAAGTTGCTCTTAGCTGGTAAGCTTGAAGCACCCAAAATTCTTAGCCTACTGACACTTACTGAACCAGATCTCTTTTCTTTAACACGGTTTGACCAGCTATCTATGTAAGATGTGTGCTACGATAGTCCGTAGCAGGTACTTTTTGACCATACAGTGATCTGTGTATCATGATATCGATCTGTTTTGTTGAGACCCAAGAGCTGGCATCGAAATGCGTCCGTATTTTTCTGCATACTAAAGCTTCTGCTGGAGACCCCGTTAATTGTCTGAGGGTTTTGCGTAAAACGATAGATGAGCAGGGACCTCTCTGAAATTTTTTCAGAGGTTCTTACATTTGGTTTTTGTAGAGCGTTCTTAAATGTGCCAACAAAGCGTTCGACATAGCCATTGGGTTGAGGATGGGATAAGGTGTTCAGACATGATTGATTTAGTTTTGCCGACAAAATTACAAGATAGTAGACGTAAACTGTGTTCCATGGTCGCTAGCTATTACTTTTAGAACCCCCAAAACGACTGAATAGTTGACGTAGTTTTCTGACTGTGCAGCTTGCAGTTGGATGTTTCATAAAAAGAATTTCTGATCACTTGCTGTATTTAATAACTTCCAAAATGTAAGTTTGTCCGTGAGGTAAACCAGCGCAGTCCAGTTGTATACACTGTCACAATGACTGTGGTATTGGCCATGATTGCAGCCCAGTTTACTGCCGTGCTTTTTTTGCTAATGCGTATTTAATATACGAATGGGATAGCTGCTCCAGTTGGGTGTCTAAAAGTAGCCATTACACATGACTTCATGCTTGCGCCTTCCTCCAATTTATTTCGGGATGTCCTGCGTGCAAATGTTCAAGCACTGCTGGTTGCAGCTTCTTTGGGATGACACGTTCGACAAATAGAAGGCAGTCACCATTGATTGAGATTATCTGCGCCGACGCTTTCTCGAAATTATCTTGAAGGGCTATCCTTCTAGATGGAACTTATTAAATTCTTGCATAACTCGGTCTCGAAGATTTTCTTCTTTGACTTCATCTGACGACACTGGAGTGTTTCGAATGGCATTTACTAATACATTCCGTACTTCTGGATCTACATCTATGGAAGCAGTGATCATGTCCTCTGATTCAGCGTGTTGAACTCCAATCAAACGAGGCAGAGCGTCGACTTGACCGATAGTATTTGTTGACCGATACTTGATATTGAAGTCATAGCTCAGAAGTATTGTCGCTCAGTGCTTTGATCTTTTAGCCGTATAAAAAAGTATTTCCTTCTTTAAACTAAATATTGAAATTTATGGTTTGTGGTCTGTCAGTGAAGTAAACATACAGCCATAGAGCATTTTATGGAATCGTTTAACAGCAAAAAATTGTTGAAAAGGCTTTCTTTTCAACCTGGCAGTAGTTCCGTTCGGCTGATTTGAGTAATCTAGTAGCATAAGCAAACGTCTTCTCTGATTTATCTAGAAACAGGTAAGATATCAGTGTCCCAACTCCACGACTAGAGGGATCAGATGCAGCAACAATTCTCATGCGGGAATCGAAGTGTGTTGAGGGAAGCTTCGAGCTGAGCATGGATATGAACTTGTCAAAAAATGCTAGGAATTCTGCTGACCATTGCCAAAGTTTTTTTTTCAAAGTAACTTATTCAAGAGACCTCACACTCGACGCATTTCAAGGAGAAATGAGTAGTAATTAACTAGTGCCAGGAAGGATCTTAATGAAAAGACATCAGTCGGTGCAGGGATCTTCTGAATGGCTTCTATGTTGGCTGGATCCGGTCGGCTACCGTTCTTATTGAAGACAAAATAAAGAGATTTCATCGAATGCATGAACAAGATACACTTTTCTTCAGGTAGTTGGAAACAACACTCCATCACGCGGCTAATAATTTGATTCAGTCGATCAGAAATTTTGCTCTCAGTTGAACCCATAACAATGATAACATCTAGATAAGCTGCTGTTCCAAGTATACCTGTTAACATCGCATCCATCATTTACTAAAGGGTGGCAGGTGCGGTATGGACGCCAAGTGGTACGAGGGTATATTGAAATAACCTTTGATAAGTGTTGATGGTTAGAAGCTCTCTAAAATGATCATCTAATTCCACTTGCAGACAAACATAAGAAAAGTCTATTTTTGCAAAACATGTTCCACCACTTAACGAACAATTCTTCAGGAACTGAAAACGGATACTAATATACATCCAGAGCAGCGTTTAAACCGGTTGATAAGTTGGTACATATGTGTATAGTTTCGTCAGCGTTATTCCCTACAATAGGTGAGGCCCATGCACAGTAGTTGACTGCTTGGATTACACCAGCTTGTTGGAAGCGACCAAAGGCCTGATCAACTAATTCAAGAGCAGCATATGGTACAGGACGTTCCGAACGAAAAATATGTTTAGTATCTGGTTTCATTGAGAGATGAACTTTCATAGTGCAATGACTAAGGTTATTGCAAATTTTCGCTTTAGCTTTTCTAGCAACCTTTCACATACTTTTTGTAACTATCGGAGTGTCCATTGATGTTAAAAACCACTACTCATGTATTCGGTCATTCCTTTTTAGAAACGCGCTCACGGTGCATCAAAGTCTGTATCAGAAAAGGAATACGATGAGGTACGTCTAAGATTCTGTCAACTTAGCTACTTATGAAGCAAGTTGTATTAAGTCATCTATGGCAGAAAATCTCCTTATTTCGTAAATTAAAAGTGCTCAAGTTACCTAAACAGATCTTCCATACTAAGCGAATTCACTGAGCGTTCTTACGTTGAATTTTTTCGCCAGGAGCAGTCTCAAATTCCACAGCCGTGAATACTTAGTGAACAGCTGTTTCACGTTATTACTTTTTGAAACTCTACATCCACTAGACTATGAATGTCATTTAGTAATTAGGATTTTCGAACAGACTAAATTTATGATTGAATCAGACAGTTATACAAAGGTAAGACCAATTTCTTGCTGAAGGAATGGAAGAAGCAATATTGCTTTTCCGTACTATTTGTGATGATTTTGGATATACAAAGCTTTTCTAAGTAGCCATGCTAATTCTAACATTTTGAAATGTACCAAGAATGATAGCGTAACATAAAAGAAGTATTATGCTTCGCAGACTCATATACTTGGAAACATTTAAAGACAGTAAGAGCTGGTACTATTGTGTAATATATACCTTTTTCAGAAACCAAGGTAATTTTCAATTTTGGTCAAACTGAGGAATATTAGGTGGCAAACTTAGAATTGATAATGCGAAGAATCCCTCACTGATAACAAAGAGCTTTATTTTTTACACTTTTCTTGTTAATTCATATGTTTATTTGAACCTACATTCAAACTATTTTTAAGTAACTCTTGAACACTTCCTTTATACCAGTACTTAAGATTAATTAGGTAACGGGTGTCATTGTGAGAGAAATTCTATAGAATATTGTGTGTATTTACCAAATAGGGTTATCCAGTGTCAATATTTATCTCGGGATTATGCACATTGTTATTTTAAATGTATAGTCCAAATTATTTTATATTCCTAACAAGTTAAATGTTTTTTGAAATTGTTGTCAGTTATTCAATCCCAGCCAAGATTCTAGAGCATCACCAACAATTAGTAAACGAAGAAAAATGGATATGGCGAACACACCCATAAGCGTATCCCGTCAATGAAAATGCATTTACCGATGTAGTTTGTTATTGAATTGCGTTTGTATTACAATCAAATTTTACGGATAAAAATATAGAATTTACATAATGTTTTACAAACAAATATACATTTAATATGTAGAAATATTTTTTAAAGATAACAAACACAATTATTTTCACTAGTTAGGCATAGAAAATACGAAGTTATTTTTCACGAGTTGACTAGCACAAGCTTTTCAGAAAACAGAGGTTAATGCGCGGTAGATAACGGAATACAATAAATTCACTTAGGCAATTCGGCGAAACTTTACAACTAATTAAAAAACTACAATTTGTGAACTGCAGCAGCTTTTGTTTGCCACAAATTTTTTGTGCTTATCATATCTCGGATAGGTGTACCCAGATTACGCTGTGAAATGAGACCAAATGATCCAGGCTCAGTCATTCACCTTAATAATTATGTAATAATTCACTTGCCAAGTGCAAAGTTATGCGCTCACCTTTTTTGTCAGACTGCTTTTGTGAGAACTAGTGATGCTACCTAGCATCCATAGCGAAGTATTTATTTATTTACTTGAACATATAAATATTGGTACAAAGGGGCACCGAATACATATGCGCCACACAAGTCACTTAATTTGCGTGTGTGATACTGCACGGGTGCCCAGACCGAAGCACGTGGTCTTTTTGGAGGGCCACACCCAAAGGCTTCGGCCTAAAAGTCTGATCGACAACTCAGTTGAGCAATGTCATGAGATGCATTCACATGGTAGCCGGTGACCAATAACTGGTTCGTACGACATTTGTTCCCTAAGGATCCCAGAGTTCATGTGTACTATTGGTTTGGAGTCAGGGTTTTCCAATTCCCCTAGGTGGATCTTCCATATCCACAAACCCAGTTAAAGCGTCGGACATTCGCTTTTCGGCCTCTCGATTTCGTAAACAAATAATGCCACGAGAAGGCAGTGAGTAGGACTTTCCCGGCAGTGGCTGTATACTCGTGGACATGTGAGTATTTTGAGAGGGAGATCTGACTCTCTACACCTTCGGCGGAAGTAGTTACAGCAAGATTCATAATTATGACCTACTGGTTGAAGAGAGACTGCTTTAACTACTGAGCTAGAACTTAATTTAGCTATAATTTATAACTTCCGCGATAACACTGTCGGCTCAATAGGAAGGAATTGAAAATCAAATATTTGGAACTTCCATCTTCATATTTATCCTTGATGTCACGCAAACGCAGCAGCACAAAGTATCCAGAATCTACATGTGACAAGAATCTTTTCAAACAAAACACAAACCAGTTATCTTTTGTAAGCTAAGAAGTTAAAGCAACCAACCAAGTCTCCGAAATAATCGTTTAAATGATCTCTATATACTGAAACGTGACTGTAGATACATTTGACATGGGTTACAGTCCACGATTGATATTTCAAATACTGTTCTTCATAAAATGTTTGGAAGATTATAGATTCAAGACAAAGTCTCGTTAAACAAGTTGAATACACTGAAACTATTCCAACTAAAATATAGTACTATCGAAATTTCAATCGACGTCACTGTGTTATTTTCTTCATGAGTTACTTTCACTCTGTGATTGCGCGTCATTCGAAAGCAACCATAAAACTTCGCTCATTGACATCATAATCTGTGAGGGAGCTTTCGTTTATTTTTTTCCAACAGCAGAACGAGTGATTGAAATTACTAAACTAACGCCTTAACAAGCCTTTGAGGGATGTTTAACAACGGGTAAAAATAAGAAAGATTACACTTTGAAGATGAAATCATGAATTGGTAATTGCAAAACATTTTTGGAACATGAATGTACACGATATTATAGCGAAAGGTTTACAAGTCAGGATATTATATAGTTTATAAATGAAACTTTTAGAACATTAAATATGAAAATGAGGTTTTGTAATCTTTCTTATTCAGATTATCCGGATCGTGATCGACGCATCGAATAAATATGAGGTGAATATAGATGTTTTAAATCATTCCTACAAAAAAAGCGGTAAAAAATTACATAAATCGCCGAATGACTGAATAATTCAGTAGAACAGATCGCAACAAGATAAAAGTATCTTATAGTTAGCACTTATGTATGGACACAATCATGAGAGTCAAATTTATGCTTGAATAAAACTTAGTATACATGTGAAGAAGAAATAGGTAGTTTGTTACCGATTGTTAAACAGTTTCATTATCACACGTCGAATATTGTAAAGTCATTTATGGAACATTACGTCAGTTGCGAGTGCTATTAAAGGTATGAGGGCGGTCATCGCTTCCCAGTTGCCTACACTATGGAAAAATGCTTTTCTTTAATGTACCTGGAAAGGGGCTAGGTTGGTAGTGGTCTTGGCGATCTCAGGGTTAAAAGAATGATACTTGAAGCACAAATTTTTTAGTCCGTAGAAAGGAATAGATTTACTTGAGAACTATCTGTAACCGTTGAGTTATGAATATAAACCATAACTTAACCACTAAAAATTAAGTGAGATGGTAGTGTGTTCAGTTTTTCTGTAACAGTTGCTGATGATAGCTGAGATGCGAACCATGAAACGATTACTAAATGAATGCCGCTAGCTTTTCGCAGTCTTACAGGTATTTAGTAATATAATATTCTCATAAAGTCACTTAAGATTCTTTAATTGTTTACTGTATAACGATAGCTTTTTTAGATAAGTGTTTAACTATTTTAACCAACTAACTATAAATTTGCTAATCAAAATGTTAACAACTCTGGAAATAATTACCAGCATTGTTCTAGATTTCATGACCATTTGAGGTATGTAACCCTTTCCACTGGAGCTTAATTTACAATTCCATTACTTGAGTGTATAGAAGTTGTCCAAAGTCAATTAATTCTAAAACTGCTTTGTCGAAATTTAATGGTATCAAAGAATAATAGGAACGACAAAATTCGTGAAGGCGAAACAAACTAAACAGTCAGATATGAAGAAAACTTTATGATAAATCATAATTCACAATTCAGTTATAAGTATACCCTGCTAGAGGGATATTATACTCTGGCTTCCAAGAAAACCAGACGATATCCAGGGTTTTTACAACCTGAACAGCACAGTTCAATTAAGTGGCATGATCATACATGTATATGAACGCTGGTGGACAAGACCAGTTATAATAGGAAATTCAAAATAAATTCTTACCATATAAAAATGAACTAAACATAACCAGTTAGGTTAAAAAAACTCAAAAGATCAACAACAAAAATTAATTTCAACGTACATTATAGTTGATGGTAAAATCTGTGAGACAACAGGTACTTGAGCAAGATCAGATGAACTACGAAGACACAATTCATAAAGGCTAGTATCGAAAGTGAAAGTGTAACAGTCAGACAATTCTATGAGTTCTGTAAAAGAAATCAGAAACAACATTATATGTATGAATTGTGAGTTATTTATTTATACATCAAATTTAAATCAATGATGAATTAATTAGCAGTGAATGAATGTGTATTATCTGAACTTGAAATTAATTGTATTACAGTTTTAGATTTTTTATGAATTATTGTGTTAACTGCAACTCATTTTTCTTGTATGCAAATGTATGTAAAGGTACCAATAAAGATAAAGTTACGGTATTTTCTGTTCATTAGAAAAATGATACTAAATAATTTTATTAAAAAAGAGTTTGAGTTCTGTGGTTGATGTTTAGAACTCAATTTCGATCACTTTTTAATACTAACTTGCACGGATCGACTCTGAATAGATATCAAGACACAAAACATTTAGAACGTATGGATTATGGTTAGTAGTGGAGATCATAAATCGAATTTCGTCGTCGACTGGATTTACTTGAAACCCAGTGATAATCATACCTGGATTAGTACTCAGTACATATCAACAACGGGATAACTAAAACGCTTCCTAATAATAATAATAATAATAATAAGTTAGTGATCATCTGGACTCACTAGCTCAGTGGATAACGCATAGGACGTTTGAAGTGAATACAGTGACGTTTGAATCCCGGTGTGAATATCAGCGCTGAGGTACATGTACATTCAACCTATGAGTCTCGAATAGGACAGAGCAAGAATCCTGGATTCCCGTGCTGGCCAAAATCTACCTGTTGTGAAGTACACTAAATGTTTATGTTTCCAACTGCTACGTTTGGAAATTCACGTATGAGTATGATAATCATAAATATCTAGAAACATATTACTTATCGGATTCAACTATTCATCAATGCCTTATAATAGTGAATGTTTTGGAATCCTGAAATCAAACCATTTATTTAAAAAAATATTAGATACAATATACAAATAAAACTAATTTCTCACTTTCTGTACCCTTCGACAAAACTCCTATATTAGGTATACAATTAATTTCCGAAAAATCAGAATCCACAGAATCATCACCATCGTGATCAACATCATCATCATTAATTTCATCTTCAACGGTTGCAGATGGAGGATTTAAAGTAAAAAAATTCTCGTTACTACTACCACCACTGTACATGTCAATTCCTGTAAAATTGAAAATATTCTCATTGTTGAGTATTTCTAACGCAAGTCTTTCACTGAGGAAATAATGTGAAGATCCTGATACGACGTGCGAATTATTATTATTTGATGTAGATGACTCTAAATATCTACCGGAAATATCACTAGTTGAATTTACAGTAGACGAATCTGTGGATTGAGAACAAATTTTTTGGAAAAAAAGTTATTTGATTTTTATAAACAATAAAATTAAGGTCATTTTTGACATGGTAAAGATTCAAACAATGAATGTGAAGGAAGATAGAGTGGTGAGAGTTGTTGGCCTAAAAACAATTCACCACTGATATCGTGTGCAAGTGAAGTTAATCAGTTATGAGCAGAAATATTGAAAACTTCCAATTATGTGCCACACTTTATATCACCATAGCAAGATGAATACCACTGTAGTATTAATAAAAATATCAGTGCTGATAAAAATACGCTAGACATAGGAAATATGATTTGATAAGAATGAGTTCGAGGAACAGAAACATTACCAGATAATTTTAAGACTAACGGTCTAAGAGAATGCAAATAATGAACAGAGCTGCATCATTGTGACTGGTTTTTATTTATGTTATCCTGTCTCCAACCATAGATTACAATAACCGCTCGAACTCCAGCCACGTTGTCTGCACTTACGTATATTTTCAGTTCAGTGGTCAATAACTTTATGAACTAATGCTAGATTTTGGTTTAATCGATTAAAGACAATGGGTGAAATGGTTCAGAATCGACCATAGATGCCTAGATCTATTTACTATTTTCCTTACTCTAGATCTTGGATATCAATATTTCATTAGACATACTTTTCGATTCTATCATCATGAACCATTTCCTCAATGTTCAGTCTTCTCCCTAAAATTACTGCTGGATTTATTTCGACTCCATTATTATTCATCTCGTGTTTATGTGATATGTTGACTTGAGACAATGCACATGTGTACTAGGCTATACGTTGATTATAACTGACTAAAAGAATTCATACTCACTATAAACACTTACCGTCCACAAATACTTACCTCTTATTGTGAAATGTACAGGAGGCGTCGAAAATGTATTACTATTGTTGTCACTGTATAAATGAACAGGATCTGTGTATAAAGGTTGTAAAATTTCTTGTTGATTTAATAACAATTTATTATCGTCAAATATTAAATGAAATGAAGTTTGAATAAAATGTAAATATTTCAATAAAACGGATGCTACAGTCTGTTGTACAGAGTTTTTATTTGGATAAGATAGAATATTGGAGTTATAAGTCGATTTCGAAGTGGATGATGATGATGATGAGAAGAATGAATTATTATTATTATTAATGTCATTATAAATGACATCTAAGGTACTAGTTTTAACATAAGATGTTATCTGATTTACATCAATATAAACATGAGTTGCATAATTTTCCAATTCTTCCATATCAATATCAGAGTATATAAAAAATGTTTTATAAGTTAAGAAATTATGATGATGTTGACTATCATTATCATCGTCATCATCATCACTAAGAAACATAGTAGAATTGCACATTGTTGATGACAATGAATTAGTTGTTGTAGTAGGACACTTGGAATATGTATATTTTAATCCACGTTCTACCGCTTCGAACAATCCATAAATCACTGAATTGAGACAGGTATTAATTAGCTGTGATGATGTGTATATATCAGATGCATGATTAATACAACATGGTTTTTCTAAATTAATTATTTCATGTGAATTTTGAGAAAATGTGTATTGTTTTAATATTAAAGGTTTGTAGTTTTGATTTGTTTCGGAGCTAAAACACAAAAAGTACATAATAATAATAATAACGCAAGTAGAAAATACTCCTGAAAAACATTCTGGAGCAGTTGTGTTTATTGAGTTGGAAGGTTTAACAATAATGTTAGCGCCAGCTTCAGATAGAACCGAATTATTCAAATTTCCCCTTGTGCAATTAAAGGCTTGATTGGTCGATATTGATCTTAACTGACTATTATTGACTCTTACCTAATTGAAATCAATGTTGACCAGAGAAGCTGTTACTTATATGTGGAAAAATTAGAATAATTCAGTTTTATCTGAAGCTTGTGTTAACAATATTGTCTAGAAAGACAAGGAAAGCTTCACCATTAGACCACACAGCTACTATTTTTTAAATATTTAAGAACATCAATAACAGTTTTTGTTCTCTAGTATATATAACTTATTCAACCAGTGGCCCTTTCACCTGAAATCTGTAAAGTTGGGATTCGGGGGATCGGGAATACGAATCAACTAATATTTCAGTAATTGTACCTGTCAATGAAGCCCTTATAACATTACTGACCAATAATTTTATTGGGTATTTTGTGTTATGACCACTATTTTGATGGTAAAAAAATGTAAAATCCTGAAACCTCAATATTTTACCCAATTATATACATTGCCACAGTGAACCATCAACAGTAAACTTCACCATTTTAGGATTTTATTTAATCTATATAAAATCTGGTACAACTAAGTACGAAAAACAGTATACACAAATAAAATTTGTGTTCAGGCTGGTATATTGATCGGGAGTCTTAAACAAAGAAGGTATCTTTCTGAGTCTTTCACCTAAAGAACGAGATCACTAGGGATTGTGGCACCATCAAGAGCTGGCGTCATATGTTAGCCAGTTACCAAAAGTTGGTTCGTATACCATTCGTTCCTTCAGGATCGTGAAGCCCATGTACACCAATGTTTCGCAATTGAGGTTTTTTAACTCTACTAGATTAACCCGCTGTAACCACCGACCTGGTTTAGGTGCTAGATGTCCGCTTTTTAGGCATAACTCATCACTTCCCAATGATAAAAAAATAAACTAATTAACCGACAAATTCGCACAAATAAAAACTAATGAACGTACTTAAACAAAAGACAACTAGGTGACATTGGACAGTTTGCAACAAAAGTAATATGAAATTTTGATAATGAACAGGGTGTAGAATTCCTTTCACAACTGGTATCATTACTAATGTCACTGCGACTCGTTGTTTCATGAGCGGAGAACATATTTGTTATAGTTAACCAGGCTAAATGAAATAGATGGATCGTTTCATCAATAGTAACATTATTATTATTATTACTGGTGTTGTTGCTAGTACTATGTGGATTCATGTGATTGAATTGATGAGAATGTATAGATTGGAGATATTTAATAAATGGCGAATCATTATTATTATTGTTATTATTATCAGATGTGTTAGTTGTTAGATTAAATAATTGAGACAATTCATCAAAGCTTATAACAAATAAGTTAGACAACAGGATAAAATCATTAATTAGCAACGGAATCAAACCATTTAATAAATGAGAATTGCATAAATAGGATGGAATGATAATAATAAGATAGAAAGTTGTCACTGGCGTATTTGATGGTGATGAAGAGGACGACGATGGTGTTCCAGAAGTAGACAGAGATGAATTTGTGGTAGAATTTGAAGATATGACATTACCATGATCAGCATCAGGAATCGAAGAAGTCGATTGGACGCATAAAATTGAAACAAATGATTTTAATGAGGAACTGGTTCTTCTCAAGCCAAGTACTTCATTCTGAGTTCGATTATTACCTTTTTTTTAAAAAGGCAAAAGGAGGAATATAAAACAAAAAAATCATTAAAATTTGACAGAACTAAGTTATGATTATATCTATAGAGTGAGATTGTTTTTTAATAAAAAGAAGGATGTATGGCATTATATGAAATGTGATTCATAGTATGTTGACATGAAAACTGGCCAAATTACTACATGATTTAAATAGTTGAGTAAATTGGTAATTTGTTGAGGAAAATGAGATACAATCACAAAATAGATTTTAGAGAACAAAACCATTAATTAAACTGAATACATGCGCGAACAAAAAATTCTAATTTTTATGGCGAAGTCTTCGTCAGCATGAGGGGTTCGGTGGGACTGATGAATTTCCAGAGTTTACATCATAGATTGATCTCAATTAGGCAACCACTGAAAACCGAGAAGCATTGTAAAGCTGTCTCATTTTAATATGGGACTCCTCAGTAGCGAGTATTCACGACTACACTGGTGATCAAATTCATGATTTTCAGGTCTCGTCATGAGCACCTAAACTGCAGACTACTGGGTCGGCATCCAAAAAACAATCTAAAATTAAGATTTTTATGACATTGGAAGGTGTAATTAATAGATTAGGTGAAAGTAGGACATGGTTGGTTAATAAGCGAGGAAAAACATATCTGGCTACAATAAATACACGCGACTATCTTATGCGCAAAAGCAACTACACTTATTGAGTGCTTTATGCTGTGCTTTTTGGCCTATACCTTATCTTTGGTCAAACAACTTATTTGAGTATAACGTGATCAAGTATCGTGTCCAGTCGGTATCTAGTATCCAGCATGGGACGGTGATCTCAATCCAACCTTGTTACGTTATTATAATAATACAGACACACTTTATGTACTTCGTGAAGTTTGTTATGTTTTTTCTACCCCAGTAGCAAAAAAATACCATGAATACAAACATCTCAAATTGTTTTATGAAAAAGATTAGGAAAAATCAGTAGTAAAATGCACAAACCCCAATTCAGACTGAATAAACTTCTGTGAGGAAGCATTCCAAAGGATGTTGAATACTCGTTGGTAGATCGTGAATCGTTATGGCCATTATTGTTGACAAGAGATATTTTCTTATTAAGTGCTCTTGGTTGTGTTCCACCAAATACAAATACCCGAGGTTGTTGTTTGATTAACGTGGGATTATAATCGCGATGAGTACTAGGTGGAGCCATATATAGACACGCTACAGCACGTCTACGGGCAGAAGGTAGATGGATGTGCAGATTTGATGATTTCATACTGGGCATATAGGAAAGTTGTATCCAAGACAAGGTAGACAAATTGAAGCGCCAAACATCTTGATAGTGTAGCTGGAGACTTCGACCTGTCTGTGATCGAACAGCACCAAAGGCAATATATAAATTACCATTGTAGGACCCTAAATATTTTATTAAAATTTAACAAAATAATTTTTTGGGAATTTGCTACTAAATGTATGACATGTAATGCAAAAGTGAATATAGAACATTAAATGTATACAGACCAAAATACTTTGAAAGTCATGCTGTAAGAAAACTAAAACAAATAACAGGACCAAGTATATTTTAGATGATTACACAATAAGGTACACACGTGTGTTGATATAAGGTTAGATAAAGGTTGGACAATTGAAATGATAATTAGTATGTCTACAGAAACCAGACAATCGAGTTATATCGTTGAGTCAAAGTATGAAGAATCGGTACAGTTCCAATCAAAATCATACAAACACTTACATTATTATTCCAGAATTGATAAAAGGAGAGAAATCAGAATGATTGAATTAGTTATGGACTAACACTATGAACTTGGAAGGCTCTCCCGGTGTCCCACATTGTACGAACATTCCATATACCTAAATAAATGGTCGCTCTGGTTGTCAGATGGGGCATCGGCCTCGTAACTTCCGAAGGAATTCGGCTTTCATCATGAGGCGTCATAGTTCTTCTAAATGAAGACCTTCTGACTCCCAGGCAGAGTTTAAAAGGTTTGAATAATTTTTTTCTGGTTAGCGTTTTTAGCGAGTTAGTTTTCTACGGGATGAGGACGCTAACCCCATGCCCAACCCTCCTCCTTTATCCGGGCTTGGGACCGGCAGAAGCCCCCGGAGGGACTTCAGGCGGCCTATGCTCCATTGAGAGTAACGGGCGTAAGTAAGTAAGTAAGTAATACTATAAATATATTCCTGTTGTAACTATTAAGTAGCTATATTATACGTATATTTATATTCATTTTATTATAAGCATTTATTTGACCTATTGACTATTATGATACTGTTTATTATTCTTAAGATATTTCCAATTTATTAGTAACAGACTCTTACATTTAAAGACACTTTTTAGTTTGATCTTGTATAATTGTTATATTCTACTTGTGATATGATGCCGTCTAGTTTGTTTGTATATAAGCACACTATGCTTGAAATATATTACTAGTCTGCTCTGGCAGGTTTGTGCATCATTAGTCTGGTCGTATAAGTCGGTGTCTCTAACTGATGGTCGTATCACGTAATATAATTAATCGAGCATAAGGACATAACAAAAATCAAATGCTTTGAACATGCATAATTAATAATTCCAGTGTTTAGTTAATTGTAATATTTGTGATTAAGTATCGCAGCAAAGAACACATAAAACAACTTATGTTTTCTGTAAATCTTAAAGTTTGAATTTTTCTAAGACATGAGAGTATATATATACATATATATGTCGACATAAGTAGTATGTAATACCAATCAAAAGTTTAATGGCTGGCAGCAAAAGGCTAGGAAGATCAAGTTGAAGAGAATAGAAGAGGAAATAGAAAGGAATTGTGAACTGGAAGAATCATACAATGTGAAGGAAAAATGGTGTAAATTTGAAAATGAACTATTCAGTGTATGGTTCTTGCATTTAACCAACATATTCTATAACTTTGTATTAAAATATAGTTATTGCCCTCACCTATGTTCTTGTTCACAACATATCTAACGAACCGACAATTACTCAAACACATATACATACATTGTTAGCTTCGGTTTGGGCGCCAGTGGAAGTATTTCAGCCCTCACACAAATCGAGTGACGAAGTGTGACGCATATATACTTAGTGCCTCCTTGTACCGATGTTTATGTGTTGAAATAAATAATAAAATAAACAAAGACATATAGACACATATTTGCTTGAGAAATTATTTTCACTTATTCATTTTCTTACTTAGCTACTCATTGGTCATGTAGTTTGAGTCACCTGTTTGAAATAAATCATTTTGACAACTTCGTTCCAACTTTGAAAATATTATATATCGTGAGTAATCATTGTAATAATTGTAATCAGGTCGGACTGTCTACGAAATATAAGCATAAGTATGCAACACCCCGCTGAAAAGCAGCAGGTTAATAGAGCTTAATTATAGATGCCTCTGAAGCATTATTCGTGTATGTTATGACTAGTGAGTGAGGAGTGTTGAAACTTAAACGTAGAATACTAGGAACGCATGGCAAGTCGATTGATAAGGTAGTGAGTCTTTATCGACTGAGATGATTAGGACATGCATCACGTATGCTCAACAAGCACCTACCTCGATGCACAGTGATGGTTAGTATAGTAGGCTGATAGAAAACTATGGTCGGCCAAACCAGGATATGGGACCAGTTCATGAATTCATTGACTATTGAATTGAACTGTGTAGGTAGTTTCAGACTAACTAGTTTGTGTCCGTGTGACTATTGTAATCAATGGTAAGAAATGGAGTGAAGTAGTTCAGAATTGTTAGCAATGAAGCGGTTCCACTTACTGATTGTTTCCTTAGATTTTAAGGTTTTTTAGAAATGTTTTATGACGCAAATACATATTTTCTTGAGTTTTTTTTCTATTACCAATTGCACTATTACTACTCTGATATCCTCCTTTACTGCGCTGCGATAATTTTAATTGATAAACATATGTAACATGTTTTAGGTTGCGCATGACAGGCTGAAATCTTTATAACTGGTTTTCTTACATTTAACAGATTACAGCTAGAAATCATTCATTTATTAAAAATGTCCTGGGAAATAGCTAAATACTGGATAGATATATTTCATATTCAATGTCCAGTCCATCTATTCCAAAATGTTACATATCGAGACAGAATGTGGATAAACACATTATCTGCATCACAACAGATTTACAAACTGATCAATGATTATTATTTCTTCTTAAATAAGATGCTTCATCCATCCCAAACACAAGCTCATTTCTAGGTGGTAAAATAGCGTTTCAACAAAAAACCTTGTATAACCCTATAATACCGCAAAGATTTGTACAAAGGAAAACTTTCAGTGCAGTGAGAAAAATTAGATGAATTTACAATGTGAAAGACTCCTACGTCCGTAAGGTGAATTTAACTTTGATGATGTTGATGATGACGACGATTCCACAAGTGATGACTTTGGATCATATGTGAATCCATTAACTTTATTGAATATTTGTGAAAGCAGAACTTCTGGTGATTGTAAACCATGACCTGGATGACGAATTATCCAAACTGCATAACCACTTGACCAACGGGAATGATAGTTTGATGTTAGTTTATCATATTTTGGTGTATATGATTTGTTTTCTACATTACTATGAATAAATTTCCACAAACAACATGGACGAGAGGGAGAATTTGCCCAGAATTCAGGTCTATAAAAAAGAAGTGGACAAAAACGTAAATGGGATAAGTTACTACGACATCCAGTTATATGGACAAAAATTTGCTCTTTATTCTAAAGAAACACCAACTAGTTAAGGGTCAACGAACAAGCTAGTTTTGTATGGCTTTTGGTGCTCATTAAATCCTATCGATACAGTATTTCTGAGAAGTGATCACCGAAATACGTGATCAGATACTGTATCGTACGGTAAATAATATTTCACAGCTTATGACGACCAAAAAGTAAACCCTAAGCATATTTCCATCGTTCTTCGTATTGAAGAATAGGAGATATTTATAACTCCAAGGAGACTCAAATCCTTCTAAAAATCCAAAATCGTGTCGCCCACAGCCCCAGTCAAAGAATTTTCCACAAATGTTTAATGTAACTCATTTACCAAATGCCATTTCGATCACTCGGTTTTTAATAAAACTATCTGATTCCCCAAACTGAAGTACGTGGGGAAGTTTCTGAATATGAGACCACTACATCACCTGTGAGTTAATGTGGCTGTAATATTAGATAATTGGTTGTTGTTCGAAGGGCTCTTATCTAAGTTTCGACCACTTGCCACACCAATCATCCTTAAAATGCAATAAACACTTGTGACGAATAATAACACGCAAAAACATCAAGGTCAAAATTTCCGACAAATCGCATCAGAAAACACAATACCAAACGCATGGTTCTCTGATACTGATAAAATAAAAGCAGATGCATTTGATCAATGAAAACCAGTCATACATACAAATTCAAGACTTAAAATATGACAATAAGTAAAGTGGATGGAATTGTAACGAAAATAAACAGAAATTATCACTCGTACTTTAAGAGGAGTTAGTCAGCCAGCTACGAAGTAGGACACATATATGCATCGGTCCAAGTTGCCACACCTCATCAACACAACAAGATGAACACCTGATTCATAAAATTAGTTAATTCAGATTTGGTAATATATAAAAGAAAGATTGTATATAAGGATATAGTACAGGAAGAAAGAATTAGTTAGTAGAAAGAAAGATATAAAGCAATTTTAATCTCACAGTTTAAGGGAAGACAAAGAATGTATACACTGACGCCATTGTGATAGATTCTGGGCCATGTCACAGAGTTTCCAACCATCGGTTACGATAGTCACGCGGACCACAACCAAGTAGTCTGTATTTATCAACATTGCTAGGACTAGAAATTAGGGACTTCAAAAACTGATGCCACGTTTTAGTTTGGCCGCCCCTAACTTTCTTCCAACCATCGCCAACACTAGTCAGCAGCATTGCGCGTCGTGGTAGTCGGTATTCAGGCATACGTAACACGTGGCCCAACCATCTCAGTCGGTGAAGATTCACAACCTCACCAACTGATTTACCATCATTCCCTAATACCCTATGTCCAACCTCACTACTATTTAGCCGGTGATCCCAGCAGATGCCAGCGATATCTCTAAGGCATCTGTGTTCAGATACTAGTAGCTTACGAGTACCTTCTACTCTTAATGGCCATGTTTCGCTGCCGTAAATTAAAACAGAACGGACTGCCGCGCAGTATACTCATCCCTTAATTGATAGACGGATATCTCGAATTCGCCATAGGTGAGGTAAGTTGGCAAAAGCCAAACGAGCTTTCGGAATCCGTGCAGAGAATTCGTCAGACACCAACCCATTAGGGCTAATCAGACTTCTAAGATAAGTGAAGTTGTCGACGCGTTCGACTACTTCACTCCCTATCCTTAGTTCAGGTATTGACGCAGGACAGTCCTGGAGCAATAACGTTACGAGGGACAAATGTAGTGCTACCAGTGGATCACAATAAAGCTGAATTCATCAGTTTAAAGAGACGTACATTCCAGTTTTGCGACTTTCATTTCAAAAGCTATACCCGTTCCATTAACTAAAAACATAGATAAGATTCATAATGACATTTAGAGCAAGTACTACTTTTGAACATGTTAGCGGGATAAATCTACATACATCCTAATGGTCGTTGGGATTACTTACTTTGTTTAAAATAAGCATACTAAAAAAACTCCAGTATCTAAATTGCTAATATCCAAATGAATCATTTCTAACTTCGATATACTTAACAATAAGCAAACAAATCGATATTCTATTCTTAGATAAAGCGAATCTTAAAGAAAAATCTTGCATACGGGAATTAATGAGGACCGAACGGCAATGAACTAAGCGAGTAGCTATTGAGTTTTAATATTCTTGAATGTGGAGCAAATGAGTAACTAACTAATGAAAAAAAGATGTCTTGCCTGTGGAGAACAGAGAAACGTTTTAAGGATATAACCATCAGATTTTACAGATAATAATAAAACAGAATGACAAGTTACTTTGAAACCACTGTTGAACAAGTATAAAAGAAAAAAGGTGAGCGGAAAGTTAGATTACCAAGTCAACGACAATTAATGTTAGACAGAATATTTCTTAAAAAGATGGGACAATGATTCACTCTCAACCCAAAAAACTGGAACGAAGGGATGAACATTTTGAAAAATAGTTTAACTGTTCTCTAACCACCATTTTGTTGCTCACTTTTACCAAGCAATGTCAACATAAATCCCTCGATTCTTAGAGAAGTAAAAAAAGCCATAGCCCGTGTAAAGCAAGAGGAGGGAAACAGGCCCTGATTGATTAACCCTAGAGATCTTTAAGTATTGTGGTCGAGTTTTGGTTGTTAAAATACCTGAGACTTTAACTAAAGTCCGGGAACTGGAGTAAATCCTATCTGACTGGTCTCGATCGGTGATCGTTTTAGCCTATGAGAAAGGAAAAAATCCTTTTTTAGTAACTACAGAGAAATAGATTTGACTAACAGTGTCTAAAATATTGGCCTCAATAATTGTCCGGTGTTTAACTAGGGTTCGTGAAGAGCAAACTCGGAAAAATCAGTCTGGTTTCAGAACTGGACGTGGATGTATAGACCGAATTATCACCCTTCGCCAGGTTCTGGAACAAAGAAATACCCACTGACTCTAAACTATAGTTGAATTTATTGACTCTAAGGCAGAGTTCGACTCCATAGATCGACAGGTTTTGTGGTGTCTGTCATTTTAAAGCGTACAAAGAAGCACCTTAGCGTTGTACAGGCTTTCTATTCGAACACTAATGGTCAAATCACAGCGTACGGTGACTTGTCATCGGAGCTAATAATTTCAGGCTATGTTCGTCAAGGTTACTCCTAAAAAAACGACCTGCGCTGGTTCGGGAACCCGGCTTGTATCGCAGTCCATACATTAATCAAGTAACTTGTGTGGCGTATATATTCGGTGCCCCTTTGTACCAATATTTGTGTTTCAAATAAAATATAGTGTAAAATTTGACTTTGTCATGGACATTCTTTTGGAGGCAACACTCATCATCTGGTTTATAAGGAATCGATCTATTAGATCCTAGTGAAGATTAAATTATGGGTAACTTCTGAGAACTATTTATGGACTAATATAATACATATATTCTTATTGTCTAACTTAAGAAACTAAATTCTATATATTTATATTCCTTCTATTATAAGCTTTTATTTGACCTATTGGTTACTGTTATATGATTTACTATTCTTAAGTTATTCACAACCTATTAGTTACAGTTTCTCATAATCACAGCCACTTTTGGCCCGATCTTGTACAAGTGTTAGTTTCTATTTTACGGTGTGATATGGTCTGATTTTGCTTATATATAAACCAAGAACGTTTGAAATGTATGATTTGTACCGTGGAGGCTGAGATTGGCGTTCTGGACTTAACAGACAGGGCTAGTCGGAAAAAGGACTAATCAGAACTCTAGGCTGTCCGTATTGGTGCATGCAGATTTAATTTGATCGTATAAGTCAGCGTTTCTAAGTTGGAAATCGTATTTCGCGATGATCATATAAGCATAAATACATAACAAGATCCTCTTGTTGACCTGGGATACACAGATTATATAGAACTTTTTGGCAAAGATACTAAAAAATGCATGGTCTTCTGGCCGCTTTAAGAAATAATGCAAGCATATTTGAGATGTATTTCTCTCTCTAAAACTGAAAAATCTTGCTTCGGAACCGGTCCGGACCAGTGCCTGAACGAATGGTAGGAAATGATGTAGTTGAGTGTGTCAATTAAGTTATTTATTTTTGAAATCACACTAGCCGTGGTGGGTTGATATCCAACGAAATCTCGGCACGAATCCAGAAAGCGGCGACAAATTTGTCTCCTGACTAAAGGACGTGCATACAACGCAACAGTTTGCTCCGTTCCGTTTTATAACTGTGAAAAGTGGCCTTTAAAAATAGAGGATATTTTTAGGTTACTAGTATTCAATCATTGGTATTTTTGAAGTACTGCTTGTATATATTGGGACCATCGAGTTAGCAATTCTAATGTTGAACGTGGATTACTAGGTAATTATGGCAAATGGATTGATGGGATAGCGAATCTTCATCGACTGAAGTAGTTGAAACACATATATTACGTATACTTAACAAGTGCTCATTTTGACGAGCAGCGATGGATAGTATAATTAGCTGAAAGAACAAATAGGGTAGCCCAAGCCAAGTCAGTCAGTCGGTCAGTAACAACGTAGAACTTCGTACGTACGTACACCAGTTCGAGTTGCCACATCACCTTAGCACAGAGATGCAGTTGTCGATTCAAATCCCGTAGTGGTAGAAGTAGCAAGAGTATAAGCAGTAATCAGGAAGATTAGGGTTTGGAGATGTTATTTAAAGAGTATAATCCAGTGAAAGAAATTGGGAAAGAGGAAAAAAGGGACATGAAGAATTCAGAAGATTAGAATTTGGGAGAACACAAAGAGTGGATGCACCTGCGCCATTGCAAACGATTTTAAGCCATGTCATTCAGGGTCTCTAACCATCGGTTGCTGTCATCTCGCGGTCCCCAACCAGGTAGTCTACACCTACCAACATGGCTCAGTCCACTTGTCAGTGACTTCATGGACTTGTGCCATGTTTTGGTTTGGCCGCCTCTAGCTTTCTTCCAACCTACTCCTATACCACTGAACATAGCACGTCGAGGCAGTCGGTCGTTGGGCATACGTAACACGTGTCCCAGCCATCTCAACTGATGAAGTTTCACTACGTCATCAATTGATTTGCCATCCTTACCTAGTACCCGTTTCCTAACAACTGTGTTACTTACTCGATGGTCCCATGATATACGAGCAATGTTTCGAAGCCAAGAAAAAGCATGAGTTCATAAAGACATTGACTGTTAGATTGAGCCAAGTAGGTGAGTGCAAACTACTTGGTTGGGGTCGGATGATTATCATAACCAGTTGTTAGACTTCAGATGACATGGTTCAGAGTTTATATTTCCAGATGCAGTCAAAGTCTACATTATGATTACGCTCCACCATAATAACACAATTGCCCCGTTTAGACAATATTAAAGAGAGGCAAACTAATTCTATAAAACTGCTTGTGGTAGACATTTGAAACTACGTTTGGAGACCACAGATCTTATCATTGAAACAATGAGTTAACTAGGCTTATATATATATTAAATAATTTATGTATAGTTTAAATTGATCGACACATACCCACACCAGTTTCCTGTTTCTTCTTCCCACAGGATGCGAAGTAACCCACCGGAGGTAGTACCCAAATAATCGATCATTTCTACACCACAAAAATTACATTTTGCCGGAGTTAGCTTCTGTCCTTCCGAAATGTTCGCCGTATAAGAGGAGGAGTAATCTGATACATTGACAAGAGGAATAAGCTCCCATAGAGCAGAATCATAGACATCACATGATGGGTGATCAGGTGATTTACTTCGTCCGCCAAACAGAAATATACGACCTTGGTGACTAGTAAGACATGCGAAATCACGAGGTAAAGGAGTTCTAGGATGGGATGTTTGATCATGTGATATGTTATCATTCCAAATGCCATTCAAATATTCGTGCGAGTCTATACCGAATTGTCGACTCGTATCGAATGGAATGCTAAGGGAAAGATCTGAAAACGATAACAAATCATCACGAATTTCTATACGCGTCCAGTTCCAAGTAATGAAATCCAGTCGATAAACTGAATTGTCATAATTATTAAACTGAAAGATAAAAATATTTAGAAGAATTAGATAAATGAGATGTTTTAGTGGGGAAAAATGGAACTTTATTTTTCGAAGGCTTATTATTCAAAGTTTAGTTAATGTACTTGGTTTTATGGTCGTGGAGATCGGCTCAATTTTGAGATCGATTTTTTACGAATTAACTAATACTGAAAAACTACTGAGAACCAGAATCCACTAAGCAGCCGTTCTGTCTTAGTTTTAGTAGTGCACACCTATAACTCAGCTGGAGGTAGAACTCTAGATATTCAGATCTGAGTGATTAAGGTCTCATTGAGCAAAAATTCAACGGTTAACATTTTAAATTCAAATCAGTTCGTAATAAAACGTGACGATCATGAAGTGTCACTAACGATTCATGTATCACTTCAGAATGGTGGAATCGCATCAGTCACAACAATTGCCGTTTATATGAACATCTAGTTTACCTATAGCTAAGCAGATAAAATGGTTTCTGTACTTACACAATTAATTGAAAAATTAAGAGGGAGGTCCAATAGACATACAGAAAAATGAAGAAAATACTAGAGATTAGTAGTGCCTTTACATATTAAACTTAGACTACATATAACTGTAAAACGGGTTTTGTATCTAACTAAAGATAGACAGTAAGACAGGCCATGAAAAGGTTGGCGGTAATTATTTATCAGTAGTTTGTCCGTCTTTACATCAAACAAAAGATTGGTACGATATCATACAAGGATATGTAATACATGTAGTGTTTAAATAGTACGAACCATACAGAATAACAAGTCTACAATTTTCTTATTTGTAGTCTAGGTAAAATATTAATATAAAATACTACAGTGAAGTCCTAAATATATTCACAGGTTTTCGGTGCAAAGAGCTGAAAACGTAATTGATGATAACTTTGAAACGATGTACTGACACCTTGTTCACTGTTCGGACCACTCATAGATCGGTCATTGATAGTTAACACACTTTTGTACCATTGAGACGCACAAGCTGCCAAACAACCATAAAAAGTAAACTCTCCCTAAAATATGGAGTTTTGCAGATAAGACTTTAGTAAACATTGAGCTTAACAACAATAGGTAAGAGGTTAATGTAGTCACAAACGAGAGGCATATCACAAAAATAAATTGACACCTATCTATTTACGCTGAAGAAGTGACTTACATTAAGTCACTAAGCGTCAGAAATACAATTTTCTACACGTTGAGATGTTACAAAACTACACTTAATATTACATTGATAGTTGTTATTTAGTTGCTGGGAAAAACCTCTATATTAGTACATTATAATAATAGCTTTATTCAATGTTATCTGTGTAGTACAGATATGGAATTGTGAGCATACAATATCTCAATAATTTTGTTTTAAACTTCCTATATATATATGCGTAAGATGAGTAAATAAACATATATATGATCCAATGAACTGTTTAAAAGAGCTTATGAAACAGTGAATAAGCAGAAGGCTTGATTCTAAGCTTTTGGTTAGCCTAGCTTTTACAACCTGTTTGTTGCATAGTATTTGCGTTTAATACGATATTGTAGGGTTTGCGAATTTTTCTTGAGTGGATGTGTTCTAATAAAACAGCATCTCGTCATGCCAGCGGAAATGCAAGAAAGATATTTATGAAGTGGGTGGTAAGTATCAGACAAAACAACACTTGGGAAATCTTCGAATACCTATTCACAAACACGTCCATGATGAAATCAAAAGACTAATTTTATAGCCTTACTAATTGCCTTTGGTGTTTTGCGTGACAGTAAAGTAATCTCATTAAAATGGTCTTACATTTGTTCACTAAGCCTGGCTAAATGTTCGAGAACACTTATTCACGAATAAGTGGACCCTGACTACATTATACAATGCATTATTACGGATTCAGAGTCCGTATAGACGATATGACCGTTTTTTACTTGGTAAGTTATTTACGATATGCTACGATTGTGTCCAGAAACTAACTACCATTTGTATTAAAAATATGGGAAAATACCTGCCTAAGAAATCCTGATCAAATGATTTCAGTTAAAAACGCGTATGAGAAATCACAGAGTTTCATCAAACTGTATTTTAAATGGAACTTAAAAATTCAGTTAACGCAAGTTGAAAAATTACAAACGAAGCGACCAAAAGTTTGGGTAGCTTCGTGACTAATTGTAATAGCTGTGGATAAGTTTTACTGTCAACACACGGCTAAACAGACACAAAATAAACGTGATGGTATTTAATAGTTACTTGCCAACGTAGTTAAGAGGTACAATATTAATATCGTATACAATAAGAAGCATCGCAGTTAACAGCGATACTTGAATATAACTTCAGAATAAGATAAAAAAAATATTTCATTTGTGATGAAAATAGGAATAAACATGGAAATTAATGCTCCAAAATACTCAATATTTATTGGTAAACTAGACCGCATAACTGAGGTTACAATTAACGTGGAGAAACTTACGATATCCTCGAAGCCACCAAATATAAACATTGCATCTTCTAAAACAGTAGCTGAATGACCATCTCGAGCACTCGGTACGCTACCAACCGTACCTCTTACTTCAGCCCAACAGGGAGGATGAAACTTTTTAGCATTGAAAGTATGATTTAATTTTAGGCTACTGGACAATGCAGACCGACTAACCGATTGACAGAGAAACTTCGAACCAGGATCGAACATGTACAGCTGATTAGGGCATACTCGCTGTTGCATTCTTCCACCGAAAAGCCAACCTCGGCCACGCCAAGCAACAATAGTATGACCGAACCTAAGACTAGGTTGGATAGAACCATTACTCTACAATACAGAAAACAAATGTCAGTCAGTGTAATCAACTGTAAAATAAGTGTATTCTAAGATATTTTTCTAAAGATTGTTCAGCAATCGAACTATGGTACGTTGAAAAATCTGTTTTAATGATATTCGATTTTACTTTCCAATAATTTGATATCAAATAAGATAAGCAAGATATATAGTCACAGTTGATGTAATTCACCAAAAATGTTATTGTACCAGGCGTCTCAAAGCATGTTCTTAGTAAAACTGAAACAAATCTTGAAGGAAATTAGTTACATATCACGTGCTAGCGCCGATACATATTAACATTTACGCCCAACTGTCTCTCCATTTACGTATTTGATACCTGGTCACGTAACTTTATCTTACCTGTTATTATTAATTTGCTTTATCGTTAATTAAATGAAACAAAATTATGTAATCTCAAGTCTTGGATTTCACAGCAATTATTTTGGTAATTGAATTCACGAGTCGATCTAAGCTAGACCACCATTAAAAACTTGGAAGCACTCTACGTCAGTTTCGTTCCATTTCGAGACGTCTCATCAGTGCACACTTACGGTACCGCACGCAAGACCCGAACCCGGGACCTTCGGTCTCGCGCGCGAGGGCTTAACCTTTAGACCACTGAGCCAGCATTCAACGGTGTTGATTTTTAACTTTAATCGATCCCTATTTATTTATTTGAACACATAAAGATTGATAAAAGAAGGCACCAAATATATATGCGCCACACAAATCAAATGATTTATATGAGGGCTGGGATACTGTCCGGGTGCCCAGACCGAAGCAGGTGGTTTTCTTAGAGAGCCACTCCCGAGCCTTTGACCTAGACGTCTACTCCACAAGACAGTGGGGTAACGATAGGAGATGAGGTCCCACGGAAGCCAGTGATCAAAAATAGGTTTATACGCCACTTCTTTCCTAAGGATCCTGGAGCCCATGTGAACGATTGGTCTGGATTCAGGGTTTTCTAACTCCATTAGGTGGATTTTCCGCATCCACCAATTCGGTTAAAGCTCCGGTTATCCGCCTTTCTTCCTCTCAATTTCGTGAAAATACCCCAGCCGCGAGAAGGTAGTGTATAGGGCTTTCCTAGGAGTGGTTGTATACGCGTGACCATGTGAGAGCATTTTGAGAGGGAGAACTGACTCTCCCCACACTCAACCGTATCGAGGCATTTTGGGGGATGATGCATGATCTTGCGAATTCCTTTAATCATTGTTTGGGGTGGATAACTGTCTCCACCCGACACGGATTTGACTCCACTGGTAGAGGCTTTTCACGGAAACTCCAGTTTAGATCGATTCATGAATTCAACTATTAAAATTACTACAATCTCCACAAATCTCTATTCTGAATTGAACACAATTTAGAAAGTTTGTCCATGTAAGAATGTTGAGATATCCAATTATTATATGAGCGCTATACATAGATTGATGTATGTGGATTACTTACCGGTTACATGTTCATACACTTGGCTTCAGACCACCGTGTTTGGTGATACTATCCGGCTGCCCAAAGCGCGGTATGTATAGATAGTTAAACGTGGGACTTGGTGGTTGAGCTTCTTTTGAATGTAGTGTTAATTTTTACCGCTATCACTGTTCAACTTCGTGATGACATGATGAATAACAATCAAACGCGGGAGTCAAACTGTAATTTTATTGGCTAACAAACGACCTAACCGTGCGCACTAGTACCGTCACCATATATTCCTGTATAATAGTCGGAAGAATATGCTAAATAACTAGTGTAAACTGAATAATTAAACAAAACATTGATTTTCAGTGACCCACTCATACATAGTATAACCGATATTTAAAATATTTTAAACTTAACTTCCTTAAATCTCAGGAAACTTCAGCCTGAAACCTCAAGTAAATATCAAGCTTACACAAATCAAACCAACCAAACGCCAACTTCAAAAACACGATGTGGATCAATTTTCCAAGTACATGTAGTGCTATACCTACGAATTTAATGTTCATACTCCCTAAAACAGCCCACTGACCAAACCCAAAGACATAGGGCAAACAAATACATACGGCCATTTCTATGAACCCACAAGCATTTTAGAACCCACGAGAAGTTTGAAGAATACGAATGTTTACGCCCGAAAATTAACTTATTGAGATTGAATATACCTCTTCGGTTTGTGGAGCGATCAAGCGGTTTCTTAAATGGAGGACCTTTTACATAAGTGTCCATATAGTGACAAAAGTGAGCAGGTGCCAAGCCATAAAGTTGGGTTGCCTGGACTTACATTGAAAATAAAAATACTTATCCAATCATACGTTATTTTACTTACTTCTAGGATGGGATCAGGTCCCCAAGATTTGAGAGTACAGTCCCATGATTTCAGTAAGAGAGGACAAGGGAGCTGCTCCCATTTATTTTTCTCTACCGAAATCACACCAATAAAAAATGGAGCTTACGAATATCCCACATAAATGTATCTATCTGACGCTCATTGTAGTCTAAATCAAACATTTGAGAATTAAAACCCCCAAAAACAAATATACGATCCTCCAAACAAATTGCTTGATGGTTAACCCGTGAAATTGGAGCATCAGTAAGTCTTTTCCACGATTCCATTACACACTGGGACTCAGCAGAAACCTAGTGTCAAATCAGCCCCATAAATTTTCAAGGGCATACCTAAGGTCTCATTGATGAGACCAAACAGTCGAAATCCTCTGTTTGAGCCTTGAAGTGATATGAACTAGTCAGCTTCTTCTAACACACTCTTGTTATAAGGCATTGATTATATATTCAGTGTTGTTCAATAGGCTTTTTTTGTCGGTTGATCTGACATTTGAAGAGAGATAAAGAGAAATTGCATAGAGATAGTATAATTAAAGTGTGAAATTCGATGAAAATCATAGGTTATGTTTATTCAGTGCATGATGATATATGAAAAACGATTGCAGTGAATGATGTGAATTACTTAACTGGCCTTCTTGTAACAAAACTATCCCTACATTTTCTGGGCTGCTTGATGTTCTGTAAACAAGGTGATTTCGTCTTTATTTAACCTGAAATAAAGCGATAATACGTAGGCCTCAGGAAGTGGTCCACTTAGATTTCATGCCTTAAACCTATAGTCACCTTTGGTGAGCTGATGGGCTCCTTCCCAAAAATCACTTTATTACCGGGGAGAACGCGTGACAGTATTCTGGTTTTTAAAGGTAGAACACGATTTTGAAATAGCTGGTGGATAGTCACTTCATGATGTTTAAAAGGTGAGTAAAACGTCACATAAGGCTCAGCACAATTGCTGTTTTTTCGTGAAGAAATTTCATTGGTGCGGTGTTCAGATTGCTTCATTTTGAGTTATTTTACTCCGCCTGTTTTTTAAATGATGTATGGTTTCTTTGTAGTACTACTATTGATCCGTATACGTAGCAACTTTACGTAGTTTGGTTTCATAGCTATAAACAGTAACCAAAGTATTGAAGTCATCCGAGGTATCGTTTATAAAAATGAGGTAAAAAGAGAGTTTTGATATGTTTCTTGAGAGACTTTGAATACTAACGCAACACTGCTAAATTTATATCAGTATACGTTGTTTTACGTAGTTCCGTAAACTCGGTGGAGGAAAATCATTAAAACCCATATTTTTCACATTTACTTTCAGAACTACGTGAAGTAAGGTTTTGGATGGTCTGAAAAGTTTTTTCTGCTTTCAGTGTCATTTGAATGTTCCATGCCACGGGGGGGGGTCCTCGATAATTTAAAGCCGTCCTGTGCTTCGTATGAGGTTTTATTATTTTCAGTATGTTTTATTACCTGGTTGACAATCAGACTGTCTATGAACTTTAACAGATAACAACTGTTTACAGTGAGACCCGCTCTTTCTACGTTCTGTGGAAGTGGGGGAAGTAGTTTATTTCTTTCAACACTTCAGCAGCTATTAAGGTTCTAGTGAAAGGCTAAACAGGTGGAACACGGACTAGCCGGTGGAGCTCACACTGCTTTAGTGTGAGTGGGTGAATATGTAGTGGCATTGAACAATAACCGCACAATCCACAAAGCTGAACACGAGACTACTCAGAAAATAGATATTCAATATTTAACGCGCATAAATACCTAAGAATGGAGAAGGCGCGAACAATGAATTGAATGGACTGGAGTTGATCGAGTGGCATGGCTCGGCCATGTAGGCGTGGTCTCTGGCGAATGTTACCTTATATCTTCTATTCATATTAAATATATTGTTCTTTCTCTTGCCTAACCTTGTTCTACATCATGTATTGGTAATTGATACGATACAGTGAGTTGGTGTAGTCGATTGTGTGACTTCCACGTAAGATCTTATAGATTAGGCAGTTATATCATGATAAATCTACAAATTTAGGATTAGGTCTATTATTAGAGCAGTACTCATATCATAGTAGACCATAGTTCTACAAACACTTTCACAGCCTAATGCCTTGCCATGACTTAGAGACTTCAGGTTTGTGTCAACATCCGTCGACCGCACTTCAAATGTTGTGGGTTCATTGGCTGTCCGCTGGGTTGCATGAATGACAGGTATTCTGATACCACAAAATCATTGCGAAGAATATTGATTTAGCTCTCGCTGTCATGTAGTGCACAAGTTGGATCGATTGTTGTTTCGTAACTTCCTAAACTCATGTTTGTCCGATTTGGGTAAATTTTGAGGATAATTTTGGTCGAGGACCTCCTGTTCTGTTAGTAAAAAGTATTGCGAGCAGATGTATCCTGAATTGTGGATAGATTGAAACATGCCCGTGTCCTTGCCGCCATATGCTTCTGGCATACATAAGAAGACAAAATCTTCCAGGCAAGCTCGATCGAATAAAAAATATAAACTGTATAGTTCATCATATTCTTGGACATTGCAGTCGATGGAAGATAGATAACACTCACATCTTTCATGATAAGAACAATTTCACCACCCAGACGAAGCAAACAGTATTTACAGATCCGAGGAAGCCAATTTTTGCTTACGAATCACCGATAAGTAGGTAAGAATGTGGTTTCTCTAACGGTTGTTTTTGCATAGTATTCTTTGCGATAGAAAATTGGAATCGGAATACAAAAGTGTAAATTATTTCTCCACATAATTCTCCATATTCGGAAATTCGCTAAGTTGTTCACTGGCATAGACATGATTGTTAGAAAGATTTGAGCCTTTAAATTTGTTGACAGAAGCCATAAGTTGCATATCAGAAAACGTATGAGGACTTTCTCGGCTTAATGCAATTCTGAACAACAGCAAATCAATCGAGAAACAAACGACTGAACTTCGCCATTAGTAAATGAAATAGCAGTTAACAGAATGTACCTATAGGTGTCTTATTTGTTTTAAACAGTGCTTTTCATTAATTCGTAAATCCTATCATAAAAACATCATAAATTAATATTAACTACGACATGGTTTAGTTACCATACTCGAAAGAAACGCGCATCGTTTTACTTAAGAAGAATAAGTGACCAATTTATTTTGCACTTACAGTAATGTTATACACGTTCCTGTATATGTTCGTAAAGCGAGCAGAAAAAGCTATCAACGTCAACTGTTACTGATACAATTTTTCTCAGATACGTTACATATTAATATGTCAGTTTAGTCGAAAACCATTATACTTAAAATGGATAGGACTGTTTAGGGGTGTATATTAACAAGTTATATAACATTCGTAAAGTTTAATTACTCCAACCTATATTTTATAAACAATTACCAACATCCATGTTCATCACCATCATAATTAGGGGGGTGAATCGAAAGTAAAAGTTCTTAGAGTCCATTTTTGTATAAAACTTTGACTGTGGTCTGTTTCCTACTCGATAAATGGTGAATTTCATTTACCTGAGTTTTGATTGTTACAAATGACCACATTAGGTTGACTACATATTCACTCAGGTTGTGAGCAACAAGTACGTCAAACGACTAATGGACTGGAATAAAAGCTATGTACCAGGCACAAACAATACGAAACTTGACGTGAGGCGGAAAAAATTATTGTTAATAGCTGACAAATAACGACATCTAAAATCTTCGACAATATGTAACTTGTGAGCAAAAACCCATGACGTAACGTCCTGACCGTGCCGATTAAGTGTCGATTAGGTGTTTCCGCGTTCGCATTTTCCGATTTCCTTCAACTGTTTAATAGCTGATGTAAATCTCGGTTGTCGTATGTTCAGCCTCGGGGATAATGTGGTTACGAGACAGTGTCACTATACACCGTCAAACATAATTAATTAAAGTATAGGGCAAATAATTGAGAAATCCCAATATATGTGCGAATAACGTCTAAAAAGTGATCGACTAATTTATTTGTTCAAAACTTGGCATGACCCTCCTAGACGTGAAATTATTATTATTATTCACGAACAACTTATTGGTGCACAAGTGTTTTGAAAAAACTATTTCATGTTTCTTCAGAAATGTAGTCATACACAAGTTTTATTAATGTTCGCACAACATTTGCCATATTTGTCAGACTTTCGTAGAATTTGGAAGAATACTGAGTTGACGTCAAAGAAAGGAATAAAGGAAAAGTGAAGGAAATTAAAGTGAAATATGTAAATAATTTACTAATAACAAACACTTCAAGCTCACTAACTACGGCTATTTGAATGCATAACCTTCAGTTATAAACAAGTTCCTACGTCTGTTTTAGACGAAGCATCCCATTTTAAAGATTTCAGGATGAAATCAACGTGAACTTAAAATCAAATGAATGTTAGTGAATCTACAAACGCACTAATGTACATTTTTGAATTTAACACAGCTTTCACCCCATTCTAAGAGTGTGATTTTGTTGACATGTGTGTGAATATGGTTCGTATATTCATTCAGTAATTAATGCGGTACTGTTCACAGATATTTAGAATAATAATAACAATTTATTCTCAAATAACAGTTTGTTACATGAGGTATGCCAGTTTACAGGCACGATCTTCTGAACAAGTGTATTTATGAATGAAATATTCACTGTCGCTAATTATGAAACCACTAAGATATAATACCAATCCATATGAAGCTCGAAGTTATATCACAATATGTCCTCGACATGAATATATCAACATTTTGTTTGAAATAACTAATTCCTCAAAAATGGGAAATGATGTACGCAGCAGAATGACTTTTGAAACATGAAGGAGGTGATCTACCTCTAGAAAACATTTCTGACCGTCCATTATTCATTCTTTTCACCGAAAATCCTCTATCTGACTCTATTTTAAAGAACGAAATGTAAATGTGAAGCGGGCGATGGTGAGTGGAGCATGTTTGAAAAACTCGAGCAAAATATAGCAGCGAGGAGCGAAAACAGCACTTCTTATTCTACAGACATATAACATAATGCCGAATCGTACTACAATTTTATAAAACTAATGAGCGCAGTCAGAGTTTCGAACGAACGACAAATAGACAAAATGAGGAAAGAAGTTATATGATGCCCACTTAACATTAAAACAAACTGTATCGCCTTGTGTCAGTTTTCTTACAATATGTTGGTTTGTCGTTCAGTTAAAGTGAATGCAATTCTGTTAGAGGAGATTCAAAGAATAAAACATTTAAAATTGTGTTGTTGAGAAGAACCATTTAAGAATAATTTGTAGTGATGGAACATTTTCCTTCGGCTACCAAAAAGCCGGGAGAGATCTTTTGAAGACCTTAACTTGATTGAGCTTTAAAAAACCGACCTGATGAAGGGACGTCC